CTGTTACTGGCCTAATTTCTGATTCTGAAAATTATTATCGTGAAGGCATTGACAAAACTGTAATGACAGTTTTTTATCAAACCTTTATTCAAAGTGTGTTGACCTACAATTTTCTATGTTGATATGGGGATCTGTCTCATCGCAACAAAAACAAACTTTTCAAAATTGTTAATACTGCTTGCAAAATTTCTGGAGTGTCTTTCGGTATATTCCCTTTATCTATGAAGCCAGATTGTCAAAGAGGCAGCTAAAATTAGATTTGATAGTTGATATATTTGATCTCAACATTTTGAACTACTTCCTTCTGGACGCTGCTGTCGATTACCTTCCCTCAAAACAAACAGAGCTCGACAGTCTTTCATACCATCAAGTATTTGTGAATGCAACAAATATTTTGAATCACACCATCATGTGATTAGAACTAAAATTATTCAGCTTCTTTACCTATGAGGTTAATTGAATTACATCATGTCAGATTTATTTGTAAATAGCATTCGTTTTGAGCATGCAATTATTGTGTATATTTTTGTGAACTGTGTATATATTCATTTTCAGACAGTTTGGATGTATACGAATTTCCACCTGGATAATAAAGTTATATCTTATCTTAATATTAGGCGTTAGCGGCCGCTGCGTGCTAAGCACATGGACCCGTGAAGATCCGGGTAGAATAGGTCTTCAGCAACCCATGTGCTTGCCATAAAAGGCGACTATGCTTGTCGTAGTGAAGGCGACTAACGGATCGGGTGGTCAGTTTAAGCTGACTTGGTTGACACCTGTCATCGGTTCCCAATTGCGCAGAATGATGATCATGCTGTTGATCACTGGATTGTCTGGTCCAGACTCGATTATTTACAGACCGCCGCCATATAGCTGGGATATTGCTGAGTGTGGCGTAAAACTAAACTCACTCACTCACTCGCTTAGCACATGGCAGACAGTCTGTCAACGTCAAATAATTCGAGTTATCTCCCCTTTTCGAGTCCTCGAGTCCTTGAAAATGGACTCGAGTCCAGCTGAACCCGACTCGTCCTCGAGTACTCGAGTACCCGTGGAAGCCCTACTATGGGCAAAGCCTTTGGAGCATGATGACATGCCATCTAGCAAGTCATCATTCTTATCTAGTCGCTTCATATGAGAAACTGTGAGAGAACTGTGGACCTTAGGACCTGGGGAGCCAGACACTCAGGGTCCCAGGTGACCACACACATTGTCGTTGGACTGGCCATTTAAATCAAAGTAATCTCTTGAGTGACATGTTTAAACAAGAGTCATCAAAGGATGACAAATCACTCCGGCCCCAACAAATTTGAAAGAACAGTTAATCTGACAGTTAAGGTCCAACTTGATTTTTTAGGCTAAGTCCAAAACGTTTCCATGGAAATCAAGAAAAATATAAATGCCCAAAATCCGCAAATTGCAAAAGGCCCCACTTCAAGATCTCTTTGACGTATCTGCCAAGTTTTGGAAACAAAGCAAAAACCTCCCTCTTGAGACTCAATCCAAAACATTTGCATGGAAATTGAGAAAAATAAAAATGACAAAAATCAGTAGATAGAAAAAAGGCACCACTCTGGGGTCTGTTTGATATATCTGCTAAGTTTTTGAAAGATATTGAATGGTTTTCAAGTTGTGCTCCGGAAAACAAGCCCACCCCTTCCTTTTGAGAATGTATTTTCAAAGTATTGAAGCCCATAATTTCAAAATTCAAAACCAATATACATAAATGTGTTTCTGATATTTGGAAGGACTTTTAGACACTCTTTGGTAACATATGGGTTGGAACATAAAATCAATGAAGTATCCAAGACTACCAGATCCATGTAAGTCACCTCGTACCACCAGCAATGGTTGCAGGGGACTTTACCCAGATTCCGGACATGGTAAACATATTTAAGCACAACACAAGTTAACACTGACATCCTTACATGCATGAGTTCATCCATCTTGCGTTTCCCCCTCTCCCGCGACCGCTGAGCTGCGAGTCGGTTCCGCTCCCTCCGTTTTTCCCTCCTCTCCACGTCCTGAGGCGTCAGCTGCAACAGTCAGCCTTGTCAACAACGTCTCACACTTACAACATGAACAACAAGTGTTGTTTGTCGGTCTAGCACTAAAGCAGTCTAATAATTGGTTTATGGATAAATGGAGTCGGAATCCTTTGTGGCTCATCCAGAATGGTTTTGGATCACTGTCTTTAAAAGAAAAACAATTTTAATGTCGTATTTTTCAATTTTTAAAGTTAATCCCTTCTACTTTCTTTTTCATTTTGAAGTTCTGAGAGAGAAATCTTTCATATGGCATAGAATATATAAATGGTTGTTGCTGATGGTGTACTTTTCAACCAAATATTGCAAGTGATTCAATGGCATTTGATTGTCAAACCATGCAATGTTTATTTTGTGTTTATGTTTCCATAAACCGAACGGACATTAGGTTACAAGACTAAGTGACAAGTGTTTCTTGATTGGCTGACTACACAATGGGTTGGGTATGCGGGGATGGTTTTCGGTGTGACGAGCGAAAGTTTTAACCACTGGGCTACCCCACCGCCCCCAGAATGGCTGGGCTTGTATTACAGTATTGCACTGAGCAATGTCACTTAGTTTGTACTGTTGTCTACAACTGTTAGTTTTAGTGATTAAATAAGCACTTTGAGAGATATTATTGAGAACATATATTTATAAAATTTGCCTGCTATATTTTTTTGCCCAATACTTTATACCCGATGGTTTACATGTTTGTATCTCAATATATGGAAGAAATATTAAAGTGGGTTACTGTAAATTATTAACTATTACCTTACAAAGCGGGATTCAGTACATCCGTATACTGTCCTAATGTTTTGATGTCCTATTACTGAAATCTACCTGTGAAGGTCCGGGTTAGAATATTGATCTTCAGTAACCCATGCTTGACGTAAGAGGTGACTAACGGGATCGGGTGGTCAGGCTCGCTGACTTGGTTGACACATGTCATCAGTTCCCCATTGTGCAGGTCGATGCTCATGCCGTTGATCACTGGATTGTCTGGTCCAGCCTCGATTATTTACAGACTGCTGTCATATAGCTTGAATATTGCTGAGTGCTGCGTAAAGCTTAACTCACTCACTCACTCACTGACTGAAATCAATTCTTTCAGCCTGGAGGATATGTAGGTGTGTCTTGGACAGGACTGATTGTCAACCTTTGTCACTGTGGTCAGTTAGAGGCAGAAGCATTTTGTAACAATTTATCTTAAAAGTTGAGTTGTTGCAATATCTTTATCTGTTTCAGATACTTTTATCTACAAACATAAGAGACCGTTCATAATTTATGGCTATGGGGGTGATGATGATTTTTATGAAGAAGCATGTACAATGTGAGTGACCCAGCCCCCAATTTATGTACAAAATCAATGCCACCACACAACACACACATTTTAAGCATACTTTTTTAAAAAATAATATTGTGTACAAAATAATTATTGCGGACACACCCACCATCCCTCTTCAGTACATGTGTATGACCCCCCTACATCCCTAGAACAAAATGGGTGAGACACACACACCCACCCTCCACTTGTCATAAATTATAAATGAGCCTTAATTAGAAAAGATTAATTAATGGGAAATCCCTTGTGAGTATTACTGACGACTCTACCTAATTTTCACTGGTTTAGGGACCGTTCATAATTTATGGCTGGGGGTGATGATGATTTTTATGAAGAAGCATGTACAATGTGAATCCCCCCCCAATTTATGTACAAAGTAAGTGACCCCTGCATGTCATGTACAAAGTCAATGACCCCTACTCCCCTTTCCATATTTTTAAATATTTATATGTACAAAATTGCTGCCCCCCCTCTAGAGTCATGTGTACAAAATTGATGACCCCTACCACCCCCAAAAATTTTAAGTTTTTTTTTAAAAAATAAATAAAAATAAATAAATAAATAAATAAATAAATAAATAAATATAAAAAATCATCATCATCACCCCTTGCCATTAATTATGAACGGTCCCTTATTGCCCAATATATCTTGAGACCTACATGTATTCAGCCACATGACTCAGGCCAGGCCAATCAAAGTGTCATTCATGGGTTGGCACAGGTGTATCATCAAGAGTTGTCTCCCTTCCCCTATATCACCAGGAAATATTCCAAGATGTACCTTCAAGCCGTGTGCCATGTTAGATTACTACTCTGTGACACTGAACCTGTCTACAGGCTGAACTGAGGTACATTGACATGACTTTCAAAGACTTCCAATAGCATTTCCAAGACTTCCATGACCCCAAATGACCGAGTGCCTTGAAGCAGGATCTGACCTGTCTGACAAGTGATGTGATCTTTGTCCCTGTGGTGTATGCTATTTTTTTTAGGGGTGGGTATTGCAGAGAATTATCATATTGCGATATACTGTGATGCGAAAGAATGTATTGCGATATGTTTTGCAATATATTGCATGAAGTATTTTTAAACAAAAAACTACTTATAATCGAGGTAATGCTTGATTTATAGAGCAAATACACAGCAAAATCACTATGCTTGATTAAGCTTCAATAACAACTTATATTCATGATTAAAAATAAAAATGTGAATAATATATGGCACAAATGAAAAAAGGAAATATCCGAAGATTTCCGAGTGTTACGAAGTTTTCCGAATGCTAGTCAAAATACCGGTTTTCGATCATTGTATCACAATACGTATCGTTTTCATGTCTGAACCGGTAAATACCGGTAAACCGGTTATATTGCGCAGCCCCAATTTTTTCTAGTATGTATCTTGACCGACATTCCACACAATCTCAGGATAGGCAGTAGACACTCCTTGATAACTGATGACTTGGATCTGAGATTTTCAAGACCCAAAACGCCTAGCAAATGTCAGTAAAAATTCCCAATTCACATTATAATCATTACTTACAATAGGGCATTGTAGAAGTAGCTTGTATCTCACAAATAGTGGATCAAGCTTTATCAGTTAGTAAGCCAATACACACAAACAACAACAGCCAAATTAACGTACTACCATTTTATTTCACTACAAAACTAACCCCAAATACACTGTTTATAAATCAGTGCTGTGAGACAGTGATTCCATGGCAGTTTCAATCTAAGAGCACTGTCTCAATCTACATTATATACTGTCTATAAATGGTTACTAATTATCGAAATCGGTCACTATAGTGAAACGACCTTGACAACCCAAATGTCTGAGAACAGCTCACTCAGTTCAATCACATATCAAAACTGTTGCTTTTCTTTCTCATTTACTGGAGAAAGTAATAACATTATAGTCATACTGATCAAACATTATGTCAAAATTCTCGAAACATTTCTCCCAAAACATCCCTCTGATCCAAAATGTATTGATAAAATTCATGTTTCCACAAAATCAGGTGACATTGTTCTGCAATTCACAGATAATAATGTGCTCTGAGTGAGTCTGATTTTACGCCGCTTTTGGCAATATTCCAGCAACATCATGGCAGGGGACACCAGAAATGGGCTTCACACATTGCACCCACATGGGGAATGGAACCCAGGGCTTTTGGCGTGACAAGCGAATGCATAAGGCTACCCCACCGCCCCGTATTTTGCTCTGAAGACCCACAGAAACTTGCAATCCATGTTAGACACTCTACAGCTGATGGAATACTGACCAGAGGGCATTTGGAGATGACCACAGAACCCAACAATACCCATGACCTTCAAACATCTACCTGAAAACAATATTTTACTTGATACACCTAGCACCAAAATATTACTGTTGCTAGGCAATGACAATTTAAGGAATGGTTGAAGAATTACTAAGGATACTATTCAAAGAAGGTAAAGAACACGTAGTTTCTTCCTATGGCTGTAGTCAGTGTGCTAAGCCATGGCAGATTTACAATACTTTGTTGATGAAACAATTGATTATGTTTCTTAACATCCTTGTGTAGTTTATTTAATAAATGGGTATAATATCTTGAGGTTACACTGATTACAAATAGATCTCTACCAATAGGGAGGTACTGGTGGAAATATAGCCCTTCAACAATGTGATAACCCCTCTACATTGTACCCATCCTACTACATTGTATCCATCCTACTTCATTGTATCCATACTACTACACTGTATCCATGCTACTACATTGTATCCATTCTACTACATTGTATCCATTCTACTACATTGTATCCATCCTACTACATTGTACCCATCCTCTAACACTGTGGTAATACTTTAACACTATAGTCATCTGTTAACATTCTAGTCATTGTTTAACATTGTATTCAGCCAGCGCTACAATTATGGCACACAAGACCAACTGCCTCTGTTAACATTCTAGTCATTGTTTAACACTGTATTCAGCCAGCGCTACAATTATGCCACACAAGACCAACTGCCTCAGAGTTTGAGTTGGGTTTTATGCCAGTTTTACCAATATTCCTGCAATATCACAGCAGGGAACATCAGAAATGGGGTTCACTCATTGTTCCACTAGTCTTGCAGTGCCCTATGTATGCTAACCATATATATGTCTGTATTTCACGGAACAAAATATTGTGCTTATGTCTTGTGTCATTTTCTAAGCATGAAATCCACTAATCAACTGATTGAAAGTTATTCCTATAGGTTTACCCTGTTTGTTCAAAAAATAGGTTATCAGATTTAATTATACTGAACAGCAGAAGTAATGCATGTCTTAAATTCATTTGAAGTTTTTAACTATAGACAATCACAATAGTACCCAGTCACAGATTTATATAAACTTTCAGAATGAGAGCTGAAGGCAGTTGTCGCTGAACATCAAAGACAAATACCCTTGGCAGCACCGAATATCTTGTAGCAGTGAGTTTTGTCTCCTTGGATAACACACAGGCAGTTCAACAGCACATCATATGTGACCAGTGTCTGAAAGAATGGCCGAGGCAAGTGGTTCCGCTCACACACTAATCTCTGTCTTGATTCTGCAAGTATGTCTACCAACTGCAGTCCAATGTCCAGTTACGTTCATATTCAGTTCGTATCTGGTGATAGATGTAAACCTAGCAGCAACACACATCTCAAAGGACAACTTGATGCCATTGGGAACGTCGTCGATGTTGATGTTGCTGGACACACTGTAAATGTCACTAACAGAGCTAGTTTCTGAAAACTGGTCCCAAATATGACCATCAACAGGGAGTTTTGCAGCATAGAGACATCATCACATTGTGTGTGCTGGTACTGTCCACCGTGGCCCAGAACTACAGCTGCTGTTGTTGATGCTACCTCAGGACTGTTCCTGTGATGACTGCTTCATACAAAGAGACCTTGAGCAGATCTTGTAACTGACTGACTGACTGAGTTTGGTTTTACGCCGCTTTTAGCAATATTCCAGCAACATCACGGCGGGGGACACCAGAAATGGGCTTCACACATTGTGCCCATGTGGGGATTCGAACCCAGGTCTTCGACGTGACGAGCCAACGCTTTAACCATTAGGCTACCCCACCGCCCCAGATCTTGTAACTCATGATATACCTGATTGCAAGCAATCAGCAACAAACCCTGTTTGACCTAGTGCAAGTCTTCTGATATTAGTGAGATGACGTCCCAGCTGCCTGGCAACAACAGCTGCAACACTTCAACATCCCTACGCCCATTCCTCATTGTGCATATGACAATCTAGCATCTTCAGCTGTAGACCTTCTAGTGTGAAGACTGTACCAGTGTCTGACATCCGAGGGTATCTCAGAGAGAAAATGCAGGCCCTTTTGCCCCAGATTTGCATGTACAAAATCCATATACAACACATCAGTTCCGCCGTCATTTCAGCATTTTCCCATCAATTCATACAAAATAGAAAGCCTACACTTACAAAACATAAATTATATTTGGAACTTGCATTTTTTGGGGTGTTCAATATACAATAGGTGAAATATTTCTGTCACTTATTTTTACCTGACTGGGTCTGTCAGTTCAACAGTCACCAACTCACCTTCAAGACAGCTAATGCTTATGCAACCACCCCAGTACCTAGTTTGTGTTTAACAACCACAAACCTTCTATCTAATGCCAAACCAAAGTTAAATATTCTCACAAACCAAACTCTGACAATCTGAACAGACATTGACTAACATGTCTATCTTGATATTCACAGTATCTAAACAGCTGAAACATCTGTATACTTATTTATGCACTTGTTATAAGGCGTGCACATATTCTTTAGAAATAGCACATACATAATACATTTGCATTGTTTTACATCATTACTTTCTGACAAATAAAGCATCATTGACACTAAATCTGTATACACACAATACTCTGGATTATGAAAATAGAAACTTGTTCCAACATATACAAAGAGACAATAAATTAATCAATGATTATTACAATGAAAATATACGAAATCAAACCATATATGCCACAGAATGAATAATACACACTTAACAATGTCTATTTCTGAACACGCAAGTAACCAATATTGGTGACCATTTCTAAAATCAAAACTTTTGGATCATTGATAACAATCAAATATTCAAAACATAAAACAACTTTTATGTACTTAAAACATTTCTTAACTGTTTTATAATTTTATTTTAACATTTGTAAAATTATATAAAGAAAATGTTAGTAAACAAAATCACACATATACAAAATAATTCATTTCCTTCATGTCCGTCCATCATCATCATCATCATCATCATCATCATCATCATCATCATCATCATCATCATCATCTCCATCTTTTAACAACTCATATCGCAATTATGATCATCGAGAACAGCAATGCAAGCTATGTCCAGCAATGGAAGATGTGAGGCTACCCCCAGGTTCTTTACATGAGGTTTGAAAATAGTTTCACGTCTTACATACTACCCGGTATGTGGAAGTGTTGAACGACACTTACCATAATGGATGTAAATAGCACTCCTTCACAAATAGAAACTTCAATACAAGGACCTGCACAATATAATACCTTCATGTTTATAGACTTTACAGAAGAATCCTCAATGTGTACTGTGAAGCATTAGATTTAGGATGTTTTACACGAATCAACTATTGATGAAGAAATCAGAACTAGTGAGTGACTGAGTGAGTTTAGTTTTATGCCACTTTTAGCAATATTCCAGCAATATCACAGTGGGGGACTCCAGACATGGGCTTCACACATGTGGGGAATCGAACCCAGGTCTTCAGTGTGACGAGCGAACGCTTTAACCACTAGTCTACCCCACCGGCCCTGATCAGTACAAGAGGCAAGGAGTGACTTCTGTGGTGAGTGTTACTGTACAACTCTGTACAATGTAAGACCTTCCTCTCTCTGGTCACGGCATCTGTGAATCGTACAGGAAACTGTCTACACCTGCTCAGATATTCCACTCCAACTCTGCAGCCAATGTCCATAAAAATTCAAATATTGGAATGAAACAATTTCAAATAAATATTATGGCTCTGTTGAGGTGAATTGTATTTCACAGACCAACTAGAATGACATATCCATCCTTTCCCAGGCTGCTTGCCAATGGCACTTTGTTTGGAATCCTAACTAGGTCCCTGTCCTAAGAAGGAACATCCCACGTATAGACCCCCTGACTAATCCTCCAGGAGTCATGGATCAACCAGGCTTCACACAACATCAGTTACGGTATTCAACAAATATTTTTCTCAAACTACATACAATTAACTTGTAATTTCAACATCTTTTCCACACCATTTATAAACAATTGTTTTGAGGTTTCTTGTCATTATTAAAGGCCAAATCAGCTGAGGTAGCAGTCACCATGACATGCCTCACTTGGTGAAGGCGTATAATTAGGCAATTATAGCAAAAGTTGTTCAAACCAACTGCTCAAGCGGCTGAGAGTGGTATTCTTCATGCAACAGGGGCTTGAAACAAAAGGTATATATTTCTAAAAATAACACAAAACATTATCATTGCCACACACATATACAAATTTCTTCTGCAGACATGACTTAACTGATTCGAAAGTCAACTTTGTTATTTCAACTGAACTATCACTTATTTTTGATTCAGCATCCTTATATAATGAAACAAGTTTTCAAGTTTGTAATTTCCATCATAGAAATCAATGCATTGTTTGTCAAGGGTTCTCTTAAGTACAGAGATGTAAGTCGCAGGAACCACTACTGGTAACTGAATCCTAGTTTCAAAAATCTCTCAAAGACATTTTAATAAATTTAGTCCAATTTTTCTCAACATGATTCTAAACGGTGAAATCTACATAAACACTTACAACAACAAACTTTAGCATAAACAAATTTACACACAAAACAAACTAATAGAAATAAATGTCCACATCACATTCAACTGTACTCCCAAGTAACAAGACCTAGATGGAAGGATGCCCTATAATGTATCAAATAAACAATTTCAACAAAATACACCAAAACAGGTTTATAGAGCAACTGTTTAAAATGCTTGGAGCATATGTAAAATACAAAACAAATATATTCAACATTGTACAACACTTTCAAACAAAAACAATATAAAACTTCTCCACATTAATTGCTTTGGTATAAAATGCATAATGTTTCTTTAATGCCACGTACAAAATTACTCTTAAGGCTGGTTACAATATCCAAGACAATATTGACACATTCAGGTTCAAAATAGACAGTTCTGAAACAGGCACTTTCCTTAGTCCACACAATTACATCATACAGGTGAACCAACATTTGGTGTAGGTTGCATCCAACACAAACGTCATTTGTATCAAAACACCTCCCCCTCAATGATATGTCACTGACTAACTCCTCATAAGGAGTTGTCTCCCCTCCCTCAATCACAAAGTCATCACATTCTCTTGCCATTCATTCAATCCACCCAAAATAATAATACTAATTTCAATTTCATTGGCATAATTGAAATATTTTTCTCCTTTGAACCATTTCTTGACCTGTTGTAAACAGTGTGCCCAACAAGTATATCTGTAGAAAACACTTTCTATCCAAACACTGTTTTTCTTGACCTTCCCATACCCATCGAGACTTCCTATGTTGACTTGACCCTGGTCAGTTGGTATTTCTGACCTTTAAGCTGGGACATCCGGCCTACATAACCCATTATTACTACTACCTAGAGAAGCTTTGTCGGTTTCCTTGACAACAGTGTCATACAGTGTCAAAGGGCTGAGATCAATCTTGGCCCATGTATAAACGCCATTTCACGATTCTTTCAATTTCAGAACATTTTCAATTCCACTAAATCATCCCCAATATTTTGTTATCAAATGCTATACGTCCATTTCTGTGCTATACGCAAGCAGACAAAAACTGAGTGGCAGATGGTATTCCATTTTGATGCAATATTATGGCAGTAGCAAAGCGATTGAGTGAATCAGTTGTCATAAAGGGAGGTGTGTGCTGTTTGGCTTGAGTTCCCTCATAAGACTATTCTGGCCGTCGCAGGGGCAGGTGTTGACGTGAGAGAGGATGGACCCACGTAGCCGCTGCATCTCGTCACTCAGCGTGGACAGCTTCTCACGTAGAAGCATGTTGTACTCCTCCAGTTGCTCCAGTTGCTGAAACAATACAAACACCTCCTAAACAGTGTCTGGTCCATAATGTAGGGAGGGATCTGTTACACAGTGTCTGGTCCATAATGTAGGGAGGGATCTGTTAAACAGTGTCTGGTCCATAATGTAGGGAGGGATCTGTTAAACAGTGTCTGGTCCATAATGTAGGGAGGGATCTGTTAAATAGTGTCTGGTCCATAATGTAGGGATGGATCTGTTAAACAGTGTCTGGTCCATAATGTAGGGAGGGATCTGTTAAACAGTGTCTGGTCCATAATGTAGGGAGGGATCTGTTAAACAGTGTCTGGTCCATAGTGTAGAGAGGGATCTGTTAAACAGTGTCTGGTCCATAGTGTAGGGAGGGATCTGTTAAACAGTGTCTGGTCCATAGTGTAGGGAGGGATCTGTTAAACAGTGTCTGGTCCATAATGTAGGGAGGGATCTGTTAAACAGTGTCTGGTCCATAGTGTAGGGAGGGATCTGTTAAACAGTGTCTGGTCCATAATACTGGAAGGGATCTGTTAAACAGTGTCTGGTCCATAATGTGGAAAGGGATCTGTTAAACAGTGTCTTGTCCATAATACTGGAAGGGATCTGTTAAACAGTGTCTGGTCCATAACGTTGGAAGAGGGATCTGTTAAACAGTGACTGGTCCATAATGTGGAAAGGGATCTGTTAAACAGTGTCTGGTCCATAATACTGGAAGGGATCTGTTAAACAGTGTCTGGTCCATAATGTGGAAAGGGATCTGTTAAACAGTGACTGGTCCATAATGTGGAAAGGGATCTGTTAAACAGTGTCTGGTCCATAACGTTTGGAGGGATCTGTTAAACAGTGTCTGGTCCATAATGTAGGGAGGGATAGGAGGGAACCGTGCCTGTTGGGAGGGATAGGACGGAAACAGTGCCTGTTGGGAGGGATAGGAGGGAAACAGTGCCTGTTGGGAGGGATACAGTGCCTGTTGGGATGGATAGGAGGGAAACAGTGCCTGTTGGGAGGGATACAGTGCCTGTTGGGAGGGATAGGAGGGAAACAGTGCCTGTTGGGAGGGATAGGAGGGAAACAGTGCCTGTTGGGAGGGATACAGTGCCTGTTGGGAGGGATAGGAGGGAAACAGTGCCTGTTGGGAGGGATAGGAGGGAAACAGTGCCTGTTGGGAGGGATACAGTGCCTGTTGGGAGGGATAGGAGGGAAACAGTGCCTGTTGGGAGGGATACAGTGCCTGTTGGGATGGATAGGAGGGAAACAGTGCCTTTCAACAGTGTAGGGAGGGATCTGTTAAACAGTGTCTGGTCCATAATGTAGAAAGGGATCTGTTAAACAGTGTCTGGTCCATAATGTAGGGAGGGATAGGAGGGAACCGTGCCTGTTGGGAGGGATAGGAGGGAAACAGTGCCTGTTGGGAGGGAAACTGTGCCTGTTGGGATGGATAGGAGGGAAACAGTGCCTGTTGGGAGGGAAACTGTGCCTGTTGGGAGGGATAGGAGGGAAACAGTACCTGTTGGGAGGGAAACTGTGCCTGTCAACAGTGTAGGGAGGGATCTGTTAAACAGTGTCTGGTCCATAATGTAGAAAGGGATCTGTTAAACAGTGTCTGGTCCATAATGTAGGGAGGGATAGGAGGGAACCGTGCCTGTTGGGAGGGATAGGAGGGAAACAGTGCCTGTTGGGAGGGAAACTGTGCCTGTCAACAGTGTAGGGAGGGATCTGTTAAACAGTCTCTATCAATAGTGCAAGTAACGCAACTGTTGAACAGTGTCTGGTCAAGTGTAGGACATATAACAGTATAACTGTAAGTGGTAAGCTGTAGATTCTGTGTACAGTGTACAACATTGTCAAACATTCTGGCCAGTATTTGTTAATGCACATGGTAAGCCACAAAATTATTCATAAAAATGTCATTTGAGATGTTTCCTTAAAGCTTGAATTTTACAGAAAACATTGAACACTTGGATAATCAATTTTCCGAACAGTTACAAATATGTTCAAATTAATGTACTTACACAAATCAGAGTCCAGTTTTTTTCTTGTCGCTTCTGGAGAAAACGTCTGGCTGCAATTCTATTTTGTTCTTTCCTTTTTTCAACCTTTTTAAGTTCTTCTGGCGTAAGCTGTGCAAAGAAGACCGGTTTATATTCACTCGCCGCAGGGCGGGGCTCCAGCCACTCTCGGCCAGAGGGTAACATGGGACTACGGTACACCCTCACACTAGTCTGTCACTACTTTCACCAGCTGACCATCACCCTAATCATGGTTCACATCATCAACTCACACAACACCATCTTAAACGTCTCATTTGAAAGAATATCACTCATAAACTTTAGTAGCATAAGAAATGATTTTACATCTGAAGAAGGATATCAGTATTGGCAATTACTTATTAAAAGACTGACTGACTGAGTTTAGTTTTACGCCGCTTTTAGCAATATTCCAGCAACATCACGGCGGGGGACACCAGAAATGGAATTCACACATTGTACCCATGTGGGGATTCGAACCCGGGTCTTCAGTGTCCTGAGCAGATGTTTTAACCACTAGGCTACCCCACCGCCCCTCTTATTTAAAGAATAATTCACAAAATATCATCAATATATATATCAATCAACTTGATCATCAATATATATCAATCAACTTGATCATAAATATTTAAATCAACTTGACACATATATTAATATTGATTACAGTTAGTGAGTGAGTTGGTTTTAAGGCCAATTTGAACAGAATTTCATCCATATCAGATTAATGCGGGACGACAGCCTGAAGTGAAGCACATAAAAAATATTTACTACTTTGGTGAAACTAATAAGTACAGGTACATTGTTCGTAACTTCAAACAGAATCAGGGCCAACCAAATTCTGTTTGAAGTTACGAACAATGTGATATGGCCTTGCTCATGGAGAACAGAAATTTTATATTTGAATAATGGACAAAGCTCTTCTATTTAAAATGTTATTATACAGATAAGCTTGTCAATCACTGATATCTTTTCACGATGTTAGTGTCATGGCTAAATGTATCATTTTCCTGTTTCTGTTACGGTCTCTTCTCATCTAACTGAGACTAACCATGTCCTGCATCAGTGAAATAGTCCCTGGTTTAGTTGTGATCCAGATCAACCAACAAATCCAGTCAGTCGAATCCAAATTCTAATAATTGTGTACACAGTGACAATAAATACTATACCTCATGAACAGTGGTAAGACTGACTGACTTAAAACACTGTAATACTAGCTTTTACAATATGAAATGGGAAATTTATCTTCAAGTAAGTTTGTTTATGCCATTTTCTTTAAATATTCCAGTAAAAAGACGGACTGGACAAACCGGACGGGTTTCACCCTGGTACCCATGTTTGGACTCAAACCAGCTATCAGTGGAGTGAGTTGACACTTACACCTCCAGCCTACCCAACTGTCCTATATTTACTGTCAAATCCTCAATGTAATAGCATCTTTCCCACCTGTCCCTAGTTTCAAACGGATAGAAAACATATGGAGAGCCAAAACCCTGGGTAACTTAACGGTACATGTCATATAAAATATATTTTGTTCCAATAGACATATAGTATCCAATAAGAACCTGTTTCTGACTTTAGAACAAGACTGTTATATATATTACTCGATCAATCCATTGTACCATCAGTAAACAATTTGGGCTTGTCACTGTTTCCAAATGGACACTATCATTGTAGGGCTGGATAGTACTCATCAGAACGATGGGGATACTGGCGAGAGGGGAACTGGGGGAAATCATGACTGCTGCAGTACTATTGCAGAAGTGTATCACTGCTGTTGCATACCTATTGAGTGAGTGAGTGAGTTTAATTTTACGCTGCACTCAGCAATATTCCAGCTATATGACGGCGGTCTGTAAATAATCGAGTCTGGACCAGACAATCCAGTGATCGACGTCATGGCCATCGATCTGTGCAATTGGGAACCGACGACATGTGTCAACCAAGTCACTGAACCTGACCACCTGATCCCGTTAGGTGCCTCTTAAGCATGGGTTACTGAAGACCTATATTCTAACCCGGACCTTCACTGGTCTGCATACCTATTGGACTGTTGCAGTACTAATGTAGAACTATTGTAGAACTATTCTGGGACAGGTATAGTACTAATGTAGAACTATTGAAGAAAAATATTGTGGAACTGGTATAGTTCTAATGGGACAGGTATAGTACTAATGTAGAACTATAGTACTAATGTAGAACTATTGAAGAACAATTGTGGGACGGGTATAGTACTAATGTAGAACTATTGAAGAAAAATATTGTGGAACTGGTATAGTACTAATGTAGAACTATTGAAGAACAATTGTGGGACGGGTATAGTACTAATGTAGAACCATTGAAGAAAAATATTGTGGAACTGGTATAGTACTAATGTAGAACTATTGAAGAACAATTGTGGGACGGGTATAGTACTAAAGTAGAACTATTGTGGGACAGGTATAGTACTAATGTAGAGCTATTGTGGAACTGGTATAGTACTAATGTAGAACTGACTGACTGACTGACTGAGTTTAGTTTTACGCTGCTTTTAGCAATATTCCAGCAATATCACGGCGGGGGACACCAGAAATGGGCTTCACACATTGTGCCCATGTGGGGAATCGAACCCGGGTCTTCGGCGTGACGAGCCAACGCTTTAACCACTAGGCTACCCCACCGCCCCTCTAATGTAGAACTATTGTGGGATGGGTATAGTACTAATGTAGAACTATTGTGGAACTGGTATAGTACTAATGTAGAACTATTGTGGGACTGGTATAGTACTAATGTAGAACTATTGTGGGACGGGTATAGTACTAATGTAGAACTATTGTGGAACTGGTATAGTACTAATGTAGAACTATTGTGGGACTGGTATAATACTAATGTAGAATTATTGTGGGACGGGTATAGTACTAATTAAGAAATACACTTCGCTCTACCACCATGTATAGTGTAATAAAACACATTTTTGCCCTGAACTTTTATAGTTAAAGCACGAGGACGCTTGCGTCAGAGTGCTTTAACGTTATAATAGTTCAGGGCGAAAGTGTGTTTTATTACACTAAACATGGTGGTAGGGCGAAGTGTATTTCTTTTCTAAGATGCCAAATTTAATACTTTCTAAAGATAATTACGATTAATTTAAGGCAGAAAACAAATGACGGTGTCGGTGCCCTAAATTAAGAATCCTCGCACAGGGCTAACTGGCTGTTCTATTGATGTGTCTGCCCCCACGTTAAGACTTAACGTTACCAGAAAAACAAATGATAACAGTTTGATGACGGTTTACGCGGATTAAATATCTTCTCTGAATTAATTTAATTACATCTGTCATTAACGTAAACCATATGGGGCAATATGAACGTTGCATTTCTACTACCAGCGTAAGTTTAGATCAGTACATCCAGAGGAAGTTGAGTAGTCAGCGACATTCCACAATTGCATTGTGGGAATGTAAACATTACTTAACGTTACCGTGTCGCTGAAAACTTGTGAGTCGAAATGACACATTTAACCGTCGTAAAACATAAACGTAATGTTTCCAGCAGTGATGTTAGCTGCGTGAAGCAACAGCAAACCAAGAAACTGGATGCAACGGTGTAGTTTACTGTAGGAGGCCGTACGAGGCGATGACAACTGACATGCATCGTGACGTCGCTTACATTGTGACGTAATGTAAAATGGTTCGATTACGAGGGGGCACACTAGAATGGCGCAGTGACGGGTTAAGGTCATTCAATTGTTACGTCATCAAAAAACTATACCTTTATTGTCTGATAATGTATTTTTTTTTCGATTGTTCTAACCGCTAGGCATCTTAGAATGTAGAGCTATTGTGGGACGGGTATAGTACTAATGTAGAACTATTGTGGGACTGGTATAGTACTAATGTAGAACTATTGTGGGACGGGTATAGTACTAATGTAGAACTATTGTGGGACGGTTATAGTACTAATGTAGAACTATTGTGGGACTGGTATAGTACTAATGTAGAACTATTGTGGGACGGGTATAGTACTAATGTAGAACTATTGTGGGACGGGTATAGTACTAATGTAGAACTATTGTGGGACGGGTATAGTACTAATGTAGAACTATTGATGAACTATTACAGGACTGGTGAAATACTATTGTAGAATCACTGTAGTACTATTGAAAAGCCATTTCTGACCCCGTGAGAAACTATTGCAGCACCATTGAAGAACAATTTCAGTTGTATACCAACACTACTGCCAACAGCAAAACTATCGCAGATCTAATGCAGTCCTGTTAGTCCACCTGCGCAGCTATTGTAGTCCTATTGTAAACAATACTGTCTACCAGCTATTGTAGTCCTATTGTAAACAATACTGTCTACCAGCTATTGTAGTCCTATTGTAAACAATACTGTCTACCAGCTATTGTAGTCCTATTGTAAACAATACTGTCTACCAGCTCTTGTAGTCCTATTGTAAACAATACTGTCTACCAGCTATTGTAGTCCTATTGTCAACAATACTGTCTACCAGCTATTGTAGTCCTATTGTCAACAATACTGTCTACCAGCTATTGTAGTCCTATTGTAAACAATACTGTCTACCAGCTATTGTAGTCCTATTGTAAACAATACGGTCTACCAGCTATTGTAGTCCTATTGTAAACAACACTGTCTACCAGGTATTGTAGTCCTATTGTAAACAACACTGTCTACCAGCTATTGCAGTCCTATAGTAAACAATACTGTCTACCAGCTATTGCAGTCCTATAGTAAACAATACTGTCTACCAGCTCTTATAGTCCTATTGTCAACAATACTGTCTACCAGCTATTGTAGTCCTATTGTAAACAATACTGTCTACCAGCTATTGTAGTCCTATTGTAAACAATACTGTCTACCAGCTATTGTAGTCCTATTGTAGTCCTATTGTACTGTCTACCAGCTATTGTAGTCCTATTGTAAACAATACTGTCTACCAGCTATTGTAGTCCTATTGTCAACAATACTGTCTACCAGCTATTGCAGTCCTATTGTAAACAATACTGTCTACCAGCTATTGCAGTCCTATTGTAAACAATACTGTCTACCAGCTATTGTAGTCCTATTGTCAACAATACTGTCTACCAGCTATTGTAGTCCTATTGTCAACAATACTGTCTACCAGCTATTGTAGTCCTATTGTCAACAATACTGTCTACCAGCTATTGTAGTCCTATTGTAAACAATACTGTCTACCAGGTATTGTAGTCCTATTGTCAACAATACTGTCTACCAGCTATTGTAGTCCTATTGTAAACAGTATTGTCTACCAGCTATTGTAGTCCTATTGTCAACAATACTGTCTACCAGCTATTGTAGTCCTATTGTCAACAATACTGTCTACCAGGTATTGCAGGACTATCGCAGTACTACCAGAGAACCTATGGCTTTAACACTGTCATATATGATGAGGAGACTGCATTGTTTAAATGGGTGATCAGAGGTCCAGAGGAATCGGTACCAAGGTACCTCTGATTATTGCCTGAATTACAGTAGTGAGTCAGTGAGTTTAGTTTTACGCCACACTCAGCAATATTCCAGCTATATGGCGGCAGTCTGTAAATAATCGAGTCTGGACCAGGCAATCCAGTGATCAACAGCATGAACATCGATCTACGCAATTTGGAACCGATGACATGTGTCAACCAAGTCAGCGAGCCTGACCACCCGATTCATGAATTACAGTAATGTACTCTCACACTGTTCAAACAAGACATAACAATTAAATGAAATGATAAAACAGAATTTGTTGTCGTATCATTCCCACTGATATTATCCACAGAAGGTACCTCATTCTTGATAAATATTGATATTTTAACTTCCATTCAGCATTAGCACTGTGCAGCTATGGCAAGTATAGAAATTACAGGGACCTGGAAGACGTCTTCTTAACAGGTTTTCCAGGTAACAGCCTTGGCTGTCAGTACTGACTCATCTATCACACCTCCTTTGAGTTGTAAGGCCAAATAAAAAATATATTGTAATTCCGATTACACCTCTCTAAAATGTAGGGTAGGTAGGTAGGATTTGTTTTAAAGATTCTTTTAGAAGTAAAGTACAAACTAATAACACATTTATTAATGTATAATTGTTATTCAATCAAGGTTTCGGCCATCATGTCGACTTTGTCTATCAGAATGACCGATGTCCGTCGGTGGCGGGAAAAAACAATGGTATCTAAAAGCTTATCACATTTATACCCCTTAACAAAATTAGGGTCGGCACCAGAATTCAAGGGTAGGTCAGGTAATCGGAACCACAACATTTCTTTTTAGGCCTAAAACATATGTGATATAGTATCTAAAATAATCTTCAGTCCTAAAATCAGTGTTCCATTTTTAGATTTAATTCTAAAAAAAGCTACATTGGTATTGCCATCTCTTCTCCAGAATGCTCTTTTGTTTTGAGCGAGTGAGTGAGGTCTTATGCCACTTTTAGCAATATTCCATCAATATCACGCAGGGGACACCAGAAATGGGCTTCGCACATTGTGCTAATGTTGGGAATCGACCCAGGGTCTTTGGCGTGATGGGCGAACGCTTTAACCACTTGGCTACCATACCGGCCCTGATGCACTTTTGATGTTTATTACCTTATGACTCTGAGAACAGCTTATGGAGCAACATGAACTCAATGTCAACTCTTTGGGACTTAGGGATTAACAGGCCAAGTACTGTAAGATTGGGATTAGCATGGCCAGTTCTTCATAAGTTACTCAGGTGAGTAGTGAAGGTTTAGTGAAGTGTTTACACCTATGCTGACTGCTGTTCTACTTGTCAGGTCAGGTTTACTATGTGGCAGGTCTCTGGTACCAAGGCAATATGTGCAGGTAACAGGTACTAGGGTTCTACTTATCAAAAGTAAAATGATTATTATAACATAACTTTTAGGGGCATTTAAAAGTTGGAGTGCTGAGTAAGGACAAAATAAATGAATGAACAACTTTTTTTCATTAAATTTAGGAGAGTGTAGGTTGTAACACCATCGAAAGTAAGTGAGCAAGTGAATTAAGTTTTACGCCACTTTTAGCAATATTTCAGCAATATCACAGCAGGGATGCCAGAAATTAGTGTTGGGAATTGGTTGAAATCTAACAATTGATGATTGATTCATTACCAACGAACAATCATCGACAAAAATTGGTTAGGGTCATTTTTCAGATTTTCCTATCCAGGTTGTTATTGCAGATATGTATAACATGATGCAACTTGCTACCTTAAAGTGATGACTAATATATCATGAACATAAACTTCCCGGAGTCTTCAAGAAATATTCAGTCATGGTTTTTCAGTTAGTGAAGTGAGTTTTCTAAGAATTAAACACGTTTTCAGGCCCTGACAACTTCAACGATATGTTCCATTGTCAAATATTTCAAAGACTAAAACAGTAGTTCCAAAATCGTTTATGTACGATTATGACAAAATGTGATCGATTGCTTGGTCGTTTGGTCACTGCGACCAATCTTCGATTATTTCAATTAATCGGAACACCACTACCAGAAATGGGCTTCACACATTGTACCCATGTGGGGAATCGAACTCGGATATTTGGCATGGCAAGCAAACGCTTTAACCACAAGGCTACCCTGACGGCCCCTGTCAATATAAGTGATTATCACACAGTGAGGTTGACGTTACCAAAGGAAAAATCTACATAGGAGATTTCTACTCATAAGTTTTTACTTGGAGAAAATTCACTGTGCATCAGCTATGAACACTTCTGTAGTACAACTGAATCATTACATCCTTAATTCAAGTACAACTAGTGCACAATTATTGCAAAATAATGTTTAAAAAGTACCATAATATTGCAACAGTTGAAATCTAACAAATGATAATATAAAATGTCTTACCTCATTTTTCTCGGGTGGACTAAAGTCGACTTTAAGTTCCCCTTTTCCTTCTGCCACTCTCCGAGACTGGATAATGTATTTGAGTTCCTCCTTGATGATGTCACTTGGTCCGCCCGACTGTAACGTCGCCAACGTGGCGACCACCAGCTTCTCGTCCTGCACCAGATTCTTCATGTTGATGAGTTTGGCCGAGTTCTGTATCCGGTCTTCCTGCACGTAGTTCATCACGGCGGACGACGTCCCCCCCTGGGACACTAGCACTTGGTCAGGGCATGTCACGGGGCTGATGATGGACACGTGGACATTTGATGGCGCCGATACAGACGTCATCATCTACTTCACGGAACCCTGCAACAAACATTCAGCTGGTGAGTGAGTGAGTTTTGGGAAGTAAGTGAGTGAGTGAGGGAATGTATGGTGAGGTGAAATTGGGTTTAACGTCGTGCTTCAGAATATTTCGCTCATATGACGACGTGCATGCATGTGTATGTGTGGCTGCTTGTACTAGCCCAGACTGAAGCTGGTTTTATAGTACTAGCCCACTGAGATACCATGCCGCAGTGAAGCATGAATACCCCACTCAGACACATTATACTGACTCTGAGCCGACCAGTCCTTGATGTACCCATTAATGCCGAGCACCAGGCAGGGACCAACAAGTACCATATTTTCACGTCTTTGGTATGACGCGGTCGGGGATCGAACCCGCGACCTTCCGCTTTCCGGACGGACACTCTAACCACTACACCACGGAGGCGGTCGGGAATGTATGGAAGTAAATGAGAGTATGTGAGTGAGTGAGTGATTGAGTGTAGGTAAGTAAATGAGGTATCCAAGTCAGTGAATGTGTGAGTGAGTGAGTGAGTCGGTTTTAAACCTTCTGCAGCAACATTCCAATTTCACAAAATGAAATCTTTTGCTCATTTACAATACCGCTAAGCTTTCCAAAGATTTGATTGATTGGAGGGTAGAATATAGTGGTGTGACGATTAATCGATACGCATCGATGCATCGATCCATCGGCCGCCAATACAGTGAACAAAGTTTTACATTGTCATATATCCCGATACGATACTTTAAATGGGCCACAATACATCAATGTTTGACTTTGAATATTGCTGAATTGCGATATCTCTGAAAAAGACTTACTTTTGTTTGATGATTCAAATGTATGAATACTTTTTATCCTTTATAAATTTCTCGGAAATTCTTGTGTCAGGAACTGTATCAAACATAGCGCGCTCGCATTTTATTAACATCCACAAAATCTGTGTATAAACTTAATTATCTCATTTCCGAATGAACATTGAAAAACGTTGGCGGAATTTGACGAAATACTTTAAAATGGTTCTGTTTTGATCTTAAGGTGTTTTATAGCTGGTGTTAGAATTAAAGATTTTAGCATCGTGATACGTATCATTCACCACCCCAGTATCGGGATTCGTATTGTCTCGCAGCTTCAGTGCACAATACTTTGGCAATATATCGTCGTGACTAAAATTTTAGTATTGTGATGTATTGTATCGCAGTGCCAATACCAGCACTAATAGAATATTGTGTAACCCTGCATTTTCTAATGGATATCAGTGCTGTTTCTGCATCCGTTGCCAATGAGTCTTCATAAATGTGGACTTACTCAAAATATAACTACTGGTCTGTATGTTTTTTAACAAATATTTGCTGACACATGCATACAAGGGACTCATTTGTCTCAGGTTGTCTTAGTGTGCAAAGTAACTTCCTTTAGGTGAATGAGTGTGTTTTAGTTTTACGCCACTTTCAGCAATATTCCAGCGATATTGCAGCAATATCATGCCGGGGGACTCCAGAAATGGGCTTCACACATTGTATCCATGTGAGGAATCGAACCCAGGTCTTCGGCATGACGAGCGAACACTTTAACCACTAAGCTACCCCCCGACCATTGCTTGATTTTGGGGGCATCTAAAATAATATTTTCACTCCCTTTGGTATATGTTTATGGAAATTAACAGTTTAAGTAAACTTAGGATCAGTATTATTCGTACACTGCTGTACTGAGTCTAACAAAACCTAGTAGAAGGTCGCGTCAGCTAACCTTTGAGCGACATATGACCGTCCAATCAAACACGAGACCGCCGAACAGATTTAACCAATCAGACAACGACTACTTGTTTATCGTTCGGCGGGACTTACAAAACGGTTTTGGGATCTTTTCTTCCCTGGTTCCTGACACTGATCTATCAACAAACGAAAATCCATTTAAAACACATATATTTGACCTGTAGTATATACACTTATGGGTTTCTAATGACATGGTTACTATTTGCTTATAATTTCACAAGATGACATCCTTGAATATTGACAAAAACGCTATTTTCAGCGACTGTCTACTCATTGCGTGTATCAGTCGGAAGCGATCGTGCGGAAAATAGCATTCGGAATCGTTCGAGTGTTTGAGGTAAAGGTTCAAACGGTAAGTGCGAATGTTCATTTTGCGATTTGGTAAGCTGTGTTCTGATTGGTCAGTCCAAAAGGTTAGCTGACGGGACCTTCTACTAGGTTTTGTTAGACTCAGTATAGCAGTGTAACGAATAATACTGAGCCTAAGTTTACTTAGACAGTGGAAACTAAACCAATGCACATACTTTCTGAAACAAACAATTCTCTAGTCTGTCATACAGACCCTGAAGCAAACATATCCAAGAAAGCCCATGCAAGTCTAGAAATGTGTCTTTTTGTGTATAGAAAAGTCTTTTTTTCTGTAAAATATGTTTATTTCAGAGACAAGTTGTTAGTCTAACAACTCCCTTAAAAGTGCTGTTTTTGGTGAATCCTAATTTGCATGTGTTCAGGTGCAGTCCCAAGTGTGTCACATCGTGACATGTCACTTAACAGAGTAACAGCAATATAAATGTCTCCGTCCCAGTCGGCAAGACATGCCATGTTTGTGTTTCCTATAGTTCATATGTAACTGATGCCGTCATCTGAATAGAAATACAGCTTAACTACATATTAAAGTTTTTCAAAGTTCATAGGCATGTTTGTGTTCAACCAGTTTTAGTTCAATTTGGTAATCATGATTTCCAGGCAATGAAATTAGCACAAGCCTGCTAGCCTGGGCCAGTTGTGTTATAGATACCATAAAGACTAGTTGAAGGTAGTTGTGTAAACGTTTGAAGTAATTGTTCTGTGTAATCACTATTTTGGCTTGTAGATAATTTGATTAATTTCTATTCCTGAATTTATCTCACACACTTCACACAAATTATATTTTTGAATATACAAATTTGATATTGTAGATGTGTATTTCATCAAAAACCAGTCTAAGTAAACTTAGGCTCAGTATTATTGGCTACACTGCTATACTGAGTCTAACAAAACCTTATAGAAGGTCGCTTCAGCTAACCTTTAGGCTTGACCAATCAGAACACAGCTTACCAAATCGCGAATTTAACATTCGCACTTACCGTTTGAACCTTTACCTAAAAAAGCTCGAACGATTCCGAATGCTATTTTCCGCACGATCGCTTCCGAGTGATACACGCAATGAGTAAACAGTTGCTGAAAATAGCGTTTTTGTCAATATTCAAGGATGGCATCTTGCAAAAATATAAGCAAATAGTAACCATGTCATTAGAAACCCATAAGTGTATATACTGCAGGTAAAAATATGTGTTTTATGCGGATTTTTGTTTGTTGATATATCAGTGTCAGCGACCAGGGAAGAGAAAATTCAAAAATCGTTTTGTAAGTCCCGCCGAACCCTGACAAGTAGTCGTTGTCTGATTGGTTAAATCCGTTCGGCCGTCTCGCGTTTGATTGGACGGTCAAAGGTCGCTCAAAGGTTAGCTGACGCGACCTTCTACTAGGTTTTGTTAGACTCAGTACAGCAGTGTAACCAATAATACTGAGCCTAAGTTTACTTAGACTGATCACAAATATATTTATACATGTGACCATGGCAGTATTAGAACTTTAGTTGACTATTTGATTGTTATAGTTGACTAACTCTTAGTTGATAACCTATTTAAACAGGAGACCATGCCAACATTAGGACTTTAGTTGACAATTTGATTGTCATAGCTGACTAGTGAGTGAGTGAGTTTAGTTTTTTACCGATTTTAGAAATATTCCATCATTATCACGGTGGGGGAAAACAGAAATGGGCTTCATACATTGTACCTATGTGGGGAATCAAACCCGGGTCTTCAGCGTGACGAGCAAACGCTTTAACCACTAGGCTAACCCACCACCCCTCCAGCTGGCTAACTGTCAGTTGGTTGATAACCTACTTCCAGTGGAGACCCAGCCTGCTGCAGGGGACACAGTGCATGGCTCGCAACGGGAAGTGTTTCAGTTTAGATGAGCTGAAATGTGATATCCTTCTCTTTAAAATGGAGAACTCATTCATCAAAGAAAATGTCATTCATGCAGTCTTTCCGTCACAATGAATGCATTGTGATGAACTTGTTTCATGTAGCGTGTAAGTGCTCAGACTTGATTCACTGGATCAACACCCACGACATGAATTCCTGTTTCGATCAAACTCATTGTTGGGATGGGATTGCCACTTCTTACAAACATATTACAGTCGTAGCTTACAATTCATTTGTGAAACAAGGCCGGACATATAAATAGCACTTGTTTAATATTAAGCTATTGAGATATGGCATTGGCTTATGTTACTTTCACTACTCCAGTCATGCTCAGGCACGACTGTTTCATGTCACTTGATGAGTGAGTTTAGTTTTACTCCGCTTTAGCAATATTCCAGCAATATCACGGCAGGGGACACCAGAAATGGGCTTCACAAATTGTACCAATGTGGGGAATCGAACACGGGTCTTTGGCATGACAAGTGAACGCTTTAACCACTAGGCTACCCCACTGCCCGTGACTTGATGAATTGCCATCACTCATTCCATACATGCAGACTTGACATGCTCAAAGATCAAACCCAAATTGTCAACTCAGTTTCTAAAAACACCTAATTTTATCATAGACACAAGTAACTACATTTAAATTCAAAAGGAGCCTACGTGAGACAGGAGATTGAGAACCTGTATAAAACTAAAGTGCTTTATTTATAGCTATAACATAACAGCCAAATCTGGTTGGAATGAAGTAGTGTTGGAAATTGGTTGAAATCTCACAATTGATGATTGATTCATTACCAACGAACAATCATCGATAAAAATTGGTTAGCGTCAGTTTTCAGATTTTCCTATCCAGGTTGTTATTGCAGATATGTATAACATAATGCAACTTGCTACTTTAAAGTGATGACTAATATATCATGAACATAAACTTCCCGGAGTCTTTAAGAAATATTCAGTCATGGGTTTTCAGTTAGTGAAGTGAGTTTTCTAAGAATTAAACACGTTTTCAGGCCCTGACAACTTCAACGATATGTCCCATTGTGAAGTATTTCAAAGATTAAAACAGTAGTTCCAAAATCGTTTATGTTCGATTATGAGAAAATGTGATCGATTGCTTGGTCGTTTGGTCACTGCGACCAATCTTTGATTATTTCAATTAATCGGAACACCACTAGAAGGAAGATATTATAATTCAGAGATGGTGACACAGATTTTAGAAGCAACAAACAACAACTAGCATCGGACAGTTCAGGCACACTGTAAACAAACCATACACCTCATAGACTATAGTAGTGTTTAAAACTCCCAAAATTCCAAGCCAGACAGGCTGGTAACTCTAAAACATTACAAGTGGCAGATCGTAACTATGTTAAAGTATGGGAACTTGCCTGTCCTATTTTCAACATTAAACTGAAAGTAGACATGTTGTGATTGGTAATCCTAAAACGAAGTGTCCAATCCTAAGTAGTTTAACTTCATTTTCATACCTTGAACACTGACGACAAGAGAACCTATCTGACATTATGAAATATATACTGTTAGGGGGTAAAATATCTGTTGAGAGAGGAGAGAGAGAGAGAGAGAGAGAGAGCGAGAGAGAGAGAGAGAGAGAGAGAGAGAGAGAGAGAGAGAACCATTATCTAAGCACAATTATAGCTTTGTGGGACTGGGCCCTTGACTGATGTCCCAACCCCACTGTTTGTTGCTCATGCTTCCAGTCACCAGTTCTCCAAGTGAAGACTTGGTTTATTACAGACTGTGGATACACAGCTGAAACACTGCTTCCTGCATCCACTCAATCACCATTGCCAGGCCTACCAAAGACAACTTTCCCACTATGCAGAAAAACACTGAATAGTCCACATTAATCGTGGAAATAGCAACATAAACATAATACCTCGCTACTGAAACAGTAAAAAACAGTAACTTTAAATTGCTACAACTGGAAAAAAAATGGAAGAGAAATGTTGACATTTTCCAGCTTGGACAAAAGTCATATTCCCTTTTTTCAAGTATTTCTGCTGTGTTATTTGGCATTTATCATCATGATACTTATTTGCACACTTGTTTAGTTTACTTAACATTCTTATGAAACGATTGACACCAATTGTTTCGACATATACAATACTTTTTCTACGCGAGGCGATTCACGGTTGCTCGGAAATTTGAAAGAATGCGCGTATGCGCAGTAGAGGTCAAAGTTCGCAGATATAAAAATGTTGCAGTTTCATAGTTTTTTGTTACCGTTTTTACTGTTTATATTGCTATTTCCACGATTAATATAAGCTTTTCTGCGTTTTTCTGCACAGTGGGAAAGTTTTCTTTGGTAGGCCTGATTGCAAGCAGTGCATACTGGGCAACTATTCCATACCTTTCACATATTTTATCTATACTCCTGTAAAAGATTTGCCTTCACAGGATAATGCATCAAGGGATGCATATAATATTTCCCAATACCATATTCCTGGATGCATACTTGCATATGTTCATAACAAGTTCTAGTGAGTGAGTGAGTGAATGAGTATTGTTTTACGCCGCAATATTCCAGCAATATCACGGCGGGGGACACCAGAAATGGGCTTCATACAATGTGGGGAATTGAACCTGGGCCTTCAGCGTGATGAGCAAACGCCTTAACCACTAGGCTACCCTACCGCCCCCATAACAAGTTCTAGCTCATAGTTCAAACTTTTTATTTTCATCACTGCAACTGTCAACCCAATAGTTTAGTTACAAAGATATACTAAGATTATCTCACTGGGAAACAATTACATATTTTGTTGATATTACATCAGTTAGATATGACATTTATTTACCACATACAATGGATAAGCTGTCCAACAATTTGACCATACAATGCAATATTGTTTCCATATTTGAACATAATATCAAAAATATATCTTCTCTAATATTATCAAAATATATGACAGATACGAGCTATGAAGGATGGCAAATTTTATGCAGTGTGGGTTTTCAAAATTCGAAAACACCCTACATTCTTCTTAATCTTTGCATCCAATGTTGAATTCTTTGGACAAGCGCTGTGTGTTATATCTTTATTCAATACGGGAACAATGTTGTATTTTCAAGTGACCTCAATTCTTGTTTACTACGCTACGGACCCAGTGCGTTTACAACTGCCATTCCAATCGCGTTATGTCACTTCTAAAAATAGCCATAACCTTGGCTTGTTCATTCAAACAAAAAGCGTTTTACAACCGTCCATTCGTGGACGAACGCGCGGGATTGTTGTCATTTGATAAGTTTCGCGTTTGGTTCCTGCATTTGTGACAAGCCCTTCTCAAATAGCTACAATGGGTGTATTTATTAGATTTAAACTTCCTCCTTCAGTTTTGCTGTACTTTGACCATACACCGCCGCTTGCGACGAGATATGCGGCTGTGAAAAGCTATGACTAAGTAGCTATTCTTAGATCAATTTCTCCAGAATTCATATAGCACTACGTCTTTTTCAAACTGTAACTGCTAATATTGTGCTAATATTCATGTGATGCAGTTGATGGTTTGGCTGACATTTTGCAAATATGCGAGCAGTTCTGGAAAGCGTTCAAACTGCTAGCACTGCGCACAGTGTACCGCCAGTTGCATTTGATCTAGATAAAAACATGTCGGGACGTATCAGTGCTAAAAATAGACCGTCGCTTCGTGGGTGTTACACGCCACGACAACATTTCGCGTCTGCAAATCTGCATTTATTACTCAAATTTATCAAAGCTCAATAGTTTGCACTCCACACGATACTACGACACGGGCGAGTCACCGGTTTGGCGGGTGCGTGATCTCGACTAGTGTATAGTATGCCGACATGAATTGGAGACCTTCCACGCATGTGAGGTTACATTACCGCACTTCTACCAATGTAGGGCGCAACTGAACTTAGTCGTGCTGACCAACACACCGCGACAAAATCCCGCAGTGGGAGCCATGCACATGTACTTACGGTATTTGATGTTAATCAAAGGCAAAGTGTAACACGACAATACTTTTAAAACATTCGGGCAAATAGGCCAAGTTTTACAATTTAAAACTCTTTAATTAGCATATTTTGCAGAAGTGTTTTCAAAATGTCTATGAAGATGCAATGAATCAATTCATATGGTTTTCAATGCATTTGGTCATACATTTGTAAATATTTTATGTTGCTCAATATAACAATTTAATAGATATTCTTTAATCAATCTCTCAACACTTAACATGTTTGAATGATAGAATTCTCATTAGATCTACATTCTTTTAAATCACGGCTTAAATTTCACACATGATGTGGTCATTTGACAAGTCAATGATCGGATAGTAAAATACAGATTTGGCATTCTGTAACTAAAGAGCAAAAATATTTAGATAACTTATCAATTTAAAATGTTATAAAAATTAAATGGACTTTACACAACTTTCCAAAACCTTAAGAAACTCCCTTGACTATCATTAAAATCCGAAACTAACCGGGTCTGATAACATTCACAAGTACTAAACATTCTTACTGCGAAATAGGTTGCATAATTTAGTATATATGCGCTCTCTATTATTTGATTATTTACGGTAATTTCGAAGTGGTCTCCCTTGCTATGCCGCTACAGCATATCGACTCTGCACAACCGCGCACACTTGTTTGCTAAAATTACGCAATGTCTACTTGCAATCCTTACCAATTTTCGTTCCTGGAACTTTGTTGTATGTGCTGATGTTGCAGTGGTCGCAGTTCGTGGTTCTCACATTGCTCTCCAACTGACTGTATCATGCAGGTCTCACATCACCTGCTTGGCTCCGGCTTTTACGAAATCGCGAGACTGACCTAGGTAGGGGAGGCAACTCGTGTAGCGATAGTTTCCTGTACATATTGAGCGTGTCACCTCATGCAAAGACTGGTGTTCAACGTGCGCGGGTCTGTATAATAGTACGGTTATGTTATCATACTACACTTTTTTTGTTCATATGCGATCAACTGCATATCCACACAGTCAATAAACAATAACACTATTAAGCTAAAATACACTGATGGTTTTATTTCATGACTAATAGTTCATATACATATCTGGCATTAAATACCTACAAACATGGGTTTATATACACACATTTCGATAACAATGAATGGTAATAAAACACATGTAAGAACACTTTTCTGTTTTGCACTGTAAGACATGTATACACCAAACTTTGTCATCAGCCTTTTCGGTCACATGACAACCGTTGTTACGTACAATCATGAGACAACACGTGACCTCAAACTGAACTTTTGTTTAAAATGCAAGCAAAAACACAAAGATGTGGAAACGGAATTAAGTGTATGTTCAAGTCCAGAGTGAAAATATAAACTATAGTTACAACTTAAATCAACATTTCGCTAAAATATGTACAAGCTGTTCGAAGATGTGAGCAAAAAGAATTGAATAAAAGTTACAATTCACTGTACACGAGTGAGCGAGTGAGTCTAGTTTTACGCCGCTTTTAGCAATAAAAAGAACGTTTCACACAACGTACCAATGAGGTGATTCGAACCCATGCATTGTACCTGACGAGTGAAAGCTGTAACCAATATTTTACCCTGCACATGTAGTGATTAATAAATGTCTTGGTTCCAGTATTTTCCGGCACCACCAAATATACATAGATCGGTGACGTCATTATTCACGTGCAACAGCGACTAACGGGATCGGGTGGTCAGGCTCGCTGACTTGGTTGACACATGTCATCGGTTCCCAATTGCGCAGATCGATGCTCATGCTGTTGATCACTGGATTGTCTGGTCCAGACTCGATTATTTACAGACCGCCGCCATATAACTGGAATATTGCTGAGTGCGGCGTAAAACTAAACTCACTCACGTGCAACAGCACGGTCACCCATGCACACATGCAAAAACACCACATTGTTAACCACTAGCCCTTTTTATGTCGACTACCATTGGACGAAAGGAGTAAAATCCTTCAGATTATATCACTGCTCTTAGTGAGAAATGCTTCATTTAGTATTCAAATATTTATTCTATCCCACACACAAAAATAGACGAAAAACCCAAATCACCTATCTGCATCGTTTTGCACTGACACGTCGGTCACGTGATGTGACATGCAAGTTTGTGTTTATTATTAGCACTACTAAACCGGTTCTTTCCGCTAGAATACGGTAAACCTAAGGCCAAACCTTGTAAACAATACATGGCCCTAAGAAGTTGGAATGGGTATTTTTCACATTTACTGTTTTTGAAAGCTGAATATTTTGACATTTTTTCTTGTGAAATGTTGGCAGCTGCTGAAGTATGGCACAAGAAAATTTAATTCTCCGAAGAACAAATGATTATTTTGTTGTGGGATAATAATATAATGAAACACTTCAGCAAGTATAGAACCATGAAAACTCTGATCGCATGCATATCAATATACTGACATGCCATAGATAGCACTTTAAAAACATACATACAGAGTCTGCATGCATGCATGCATGCCATTTGTTTTGCTAGTGACTCAATACGCTTGCCAAGCTTTTTGTCTTCATCTTTTACAAATGTGAAAAATACCTATCCGACATATATTTCTGAAGCAAATCAGTGATTGTCCAAGCAAATTAAATGTAATTAAACCCAGGGTCACTTCATTAATTCTCAGACGAAAATTATAACAAATACTTTTTATTTCATAAAAATAGACGTAAAAATAAAAAAAATCAATATATGTTACAAAACAATACAACTGTAACAGGCACCGAATCTAAACAACGTCTAAAGACAATTGTAGCGTCACTGAAATCTACATGGCCAGCACATGAAATACAAGCTACACAATTCAAACAGAGCAACGCTATAGTATGTTCCGAATGTACTTGACTCTTCGGAACACATGAACCGACAACTGTTAACCTGATCATAACGCCAACAGTTTCTGATTTTCTCACATTCCAAACTCGTTTAAAGTGTCATGAGACCTCCCTGCAGAGTTTCCAAATAAATACAGTTTAAAGTCTCCAAACCTTCAGTCTGCACTTAAACATATTTCATCAGAACATGAAGGTAAGGAGTAAAATGAGAATGTTACCATGGATACAAGGCGACAGAGGATATATGTAGAAGACAATGTTGGTATAAATTCCGGTACAAAATAGTAGAAACCGTTATCACAAATCGAGAAGATATATCTCTGAGTATTTGAAATAAAGTAAAGAACGACATACATCAGCCTGACTATATGATACAAACAGGAAACACCGAAACACATTTCACATTGAAAAAGACTCATTTAACAGGATAAGGCGCCTGCGCCAAATCAAGTTCTTCGTAAAATAAAAATTACAGCGATTTCAAAGTTGAGAGTTCTGTGAAAATTGCTGATTTTATTGCCAGAGGTTATCAGACATTGAACAGAGGCGTTCGTAAACCAGTCAGAAACTCGGACACATTACAAACATGCTTGGTGGACAGGAGTCCACCGTTGAATATTCATTATGTATAGACTAACGAATGATTACAGGAGACCGGTCAGTGAAGATATTAACATGAAGCTGATTGTACAAATCCAGCAGAACTAACAGAACATGCTCATATCATTATATGTTCTTTGTCGCATCACCTTACGATTTCCACTCTTGCATGCATTGGCTAAGTCTGATTTATATTTACAGTTTGCCTGTCGATATCTATATAAAATCAGTTTCCTGACAAGTCACTGTAAGATCGACCATCGACAGGAAACATGTCAAACAGAAAATCTCCATGACTTGGGCTCTATCATTAACATGACTCATTCCGCATACAGAATGTCCAATATAGAATGGTTGATGATACAATGACACAGGTATGTAGATACATACATATCTCATGAATATGTGTATACAGTCATGGAAGTCTCTTGATGAACCTGCTGCTTTCCTGTTTCGTTTCGGTAGATTCATCTTCCCTTATGTCACGGTGACCCGGCACGTGCTTCCAGGTCACCATGACACGTTGATGTCATGACGTGTCAGCATGTGACAAGCATGGATACTTCTGTCCATCAAGGAAGAATGTCTTTTTTCGGTTTTGGGGGTTTCCGATTTTTTTAGGTTTTTCTGTAAACGATTTCCTTTTACTGTAGACGTCATGGTTGTAAAGTGAGGTTGAGAGACGGTTCTTGAACAGGACAGACCATTAAGTGATCTGTGAGGAGTTGTTTCAGCCGATCTCTCTCTTGCTGCAGTCGATGAAGCTCGCACCGCATTTTGGTGTTGGAGGACTCAAGTTTCTGAGTTTTCTGAAAACATTGAAATAATATATTTAAGAAAAAATCAAATATATTTTAAACACACATAACAAGGGAGATGTGACCAACAAATAACAATAATTCTATTTATATCTAAAGTATCTAATGTCCAAAGATCAGCCCCTATCTGATTATTGCTTATGTTTCTCACACAATGAACACTGAACAAATGAACATTAATTACATATTCTGTGTCACAGTATCACACGTACTAATATATAATTTGCTGCCGTCGATACTAAACATGTAAGCTGATACCTTTTTAACTGTTCTTTTCGACATAGCCCCCTAGACTCGAACTTACATCAGTACGTTTTCTCAACTTGACATAAAGACTCTTCCCTTAAAATCACATTAACCTGCTCACACATTTACACATCATTTATAATTTTTGCAACATAAAATACATGCATACCTTGAGTAGAAACTCTGACGTGTCTTTCTGCTTCCTTCTGAACCGCCGTGCAGCCATTCTGTTCTGCTCCCTCCGCACAACGGCTCGTTCTTGCTCCTCCTCCGTCAACTGCAAAAAAGTCAACTGTTGGTCAGTGATTGCGGATCGGTCAGCTTTGTAAAGAAACAACCTGTAAAAAACGTATTTTTTTAGGGACTGGAAATATATATTCTATCTATAACATATATAATTGTTCACTTATGCATCTACGTAAATAATAGGTTTGAGTAGTATATAAATCAGATTGTCTCTGCAAATATAACAATCCGACCTATATTAAAACATCGACTTCTACTGGTACAATATTATTATTCATATACATATATGTTACATATCTTAATACATCTCATATGACACTAACTATAGAACCATACCGCATTAAACAGATACAAAAACATACATTCTCGTAACCAGGATGTATGTAAGTATTTACAAATATTGTAACACGATCTACTGACGACAGTACGTAATTCTGTTTCACTTGAAAAAACAAATGTCAGAGTTAAGTCTAAAGTTGCTTTTAGCAATATTCAGACAATACCGTAATAATAAACTGACTGACTGAATTTGGTTTTACGCCGCTTTAAGCAATATTCCAGCAACATCACGGCGGGGGACACCAGAAATGGGCTTCACAAATTGTACCCATGTGGGGATTCGAACCCGGGTCTTCGGCGTGACGTGCCAACGCTTTAACCACTAGGCTACCCCACCGCCCCCCGTAATAATAGAGTGGGAGGTGGGGGAAGGAGATTCTGTCAAACATTGTATACAATTTACATGTGGTGTCGAACCAGGTCTTCGATGTGACAAACGGATGCGTTATAACCACTAGGCCATCCTTCCGCCTGTACATCTAACATCTCCGGAAACATGGGTTAATTTTGAATAACTGACAAACTAATGCACAGAAATAACCTGTTCATGTTGTCTTTAACAATATAATTAACAAAGTACTCACCACTTTCTTCTCCGGCACGGTAAACTCTACTTTAATATCCTCTTTTCCCTCCACGAACCGCCGGGTTAAGATGGAACATTTCAGCTCCTCTTTTACGAGGGGGGTGATGCTCCCAGTCTCAATGGCCGCTAGGGTCGCTGCCACCATCTTCTCATCAACCATCACTGGGACAGAAGTACCCGGAGTGTAGCTGATATCTTCAGCCATAGATGTAACAGTCGTGGGTATTGGCATCGGAGCCACAGCCATGACAGGTAAGTTATTCAGGAGCGTTTCTTCCACGCCGTCCTCCATGCCATAAGCTCGAGAGTTTGTCATATCTGAAATGGAGCGAGTTGAATTATCTGTCAGCTGCCTGTTATCACGTCTTTTCTTAGCTGAAATGTTGTACGGACTGTGACGGTTGAGGGACCAACAGTTGTATATATATGAAATACGCAGTGTTGACGTTTGTCGGTCCACGTGGATTTCACATGGTTGTGTCATAGCCAGTCTATTTATAGCACGCGGTAAAACCTCCCCATCTGCGCATTGGCGGGCTTGAATATAAACGACAACTCTATTTTGGCGTGATCAGTTACAACTCACACATCGTGAGGCACTGACAACGCACAGACTGTTCACTGACTGTCGTATATTGATATAGTTATTAGCTGTTTTGCTGTTTAAACCAGCACGACCAAGAACCGCCCCTCTCAGTTACCCGGATGTTAATTCACAACACTATTCTCGAATGAAGTACACTATTAATTGATTCGCATCAAATCAGTACTCACCTGTGGAAATATTTCAATATCATTTTTAATACAGAAACTTTTATCAAAATAATTATCCAATACTTTTATGAATATATGCTTACTTACATTTGCCAGTTATGTATTGGCATCGGTATATTGAAAATAATCTCTATTGAGTATTGTACATATCTGTATTAAATTAACTATTTTTAGATTTCATCTCTTTTTATTAATCAACCGCGAAGCTAACATAACATTCATAAACGTTGTATTATTTGAAGTTTTCAATTAATTAAAATCCCTCCGTTTTTTCTTTATTTTTTACAGTTTTTAATGAGTATATTTCAATATCCTTTTTTTGTGTCACTTCCGAGCCAAATGTGGTCCAAAGTTCTCCATTTCCCCAAACACTGAGCTTTTGCACCGCATCGTTGCCTGACTCAGCACTTACCGGCAAGCGTGGTGTTTTGGCGACGATGGCGAGCTAGCTGATTCATAACCGGCCAGTCGTTGTGCAAAATGCTGAATGAAGCATATTCCCGCCGCCGAAGTATTTATAGGGCCTTACTACGGTGACGTCACAGGCAAGTGCCCAGACTTGTTCGTCTCGAACGTGTCTGAACACGACCAATAGGAAGTAATGCGGAATTTAACGAGTACATATCGGCAGTTTACGGAGATACTCGGACATTTCCGCCCATACATCGCTGATTCATTCCATTCATCTATCTGCCTTTCACAGGAACTGGAACGGAGCTAATTTGAACGCAAAATATCATCAACGTTTTTTCTTGTTACTAATGATTTACATGATTTGATAATCATTGTTCAAAAGTGGCAATAATTACAAGATGTGTGAACATATAGCTTAAACAGATATTTGCTGATTCGTCACCCATTTTACATACGTGGTTTTGAATATTCTAGACTTTCTCTCCATACACAAATGTGTCGTCAGCTGTCAGTGTGCCATTGTGTGTGATAGGATAAACCCATGTCAGAGTAGTTCACGTGGGCGTATTGGAGTGTCTCTCTGACGGTATGAGGTTAACCTCCCCGGTACTGGCTGTTGAAGGTGGCTGCCGTTGAAGTTTAGTAGACGAGAGCTTGTAAAATGTTCGATGAAGCTGAAACTCTGAATTTCAACTTTAAACGTCTGTCGAATATAATCACGATCATGTAATATATATATACACGTGTATATATATATATGATCGTGGATATATTCGACAGACGTTTTATCTAAATCTAAATTTAAATTTTCAACTTCCTGGAATATTTCACAAGTGCTCGTGTATCATACTTGTACAGTGAGTGAGTGAGTTTAGTTTTACGCCGCACTCAGCAATACTCCAGCTATATGGCGGCGGTCTGTAAATAATCGAATCTGGACCAGACAATACAGTGATCAACAGCATGAGCATCGATATGAGCAATTGGGAACCGATGACATGTGTCAACCAAGTCAGCGAGCCTGACCACCCGATCCCGTTAGTCGCCTCTTACGACAAGCATGGGTTACTGAAGATCAATATTCTAACCCGGACCTTCACGGGTATCACTTGTACAGACAGTAACCTCAAATAGTTATTGAGACAGTCCAATACGCCCACGTTAACTTCTCTGACATGGGTTTATATCTATATTTCCGTGTAAGTCGAAATATTCATTTGATTATGTTAGAATAACAGGGGCGATATGTATGTACATATTTAAAATATGTATACACAATTTATTTATTTTACAGTCCCAACGTATGTACACCACTCTCTCGGCCGTGTTCATCGTCACCCACCACTTGTGAGTTCTCGTCAGTACGACTTGAAACGATTGTCTATCGTGGAGGCTGCATAGATAATCTCCTTAATGAGATAGAAGCACGGGCTTCTTACACTCATGCTGAGATAAAACCAATCTCGCCCGTCCTCAATCAGCTTTATATTAAATATAATGTCATGTATCATTAATCCATGTTATCTTATTGGAAGAATATCTGTGAGTGAATTTGTCATAACGTCGCTTTGAAGAGTGTTCCAAGCGTGTTAGCTTAATGTCGGAGCGAGTGAGTTTGGCTTTACGTCGCTTTCAGCAATATTCCAGCAATATCACGGCGGGGGACACAAGAAATGGGCTTCACACATTGTACCCATGTGGGGAATCGAAACCGGGTCCTCGGCGTGACGAGCCCACGCTTTAAGCACTAGGCTAACCACTCGCTGTGCAGAGTTGCGTCCCTTTGTTGTACAGGATGACTGGTTCGAATCCATAGTTCATCATGATTATGTTTTAAGGGTTGTGTGCAACATAGCCGTGTTCAGACCTGCAGCACTTCTGACTCCCTCCCACACCAATCTAACACGTCGTCATATGACTAAAATCTGGGTCACAGCGGGGTAAAACCCAGCCCGGCGCCCGCTCACTCACGCGAAACAGTTGCGTCACAGCACATCTCTATAAATTCTTTTCGTAGAATCATATCAAGGCATGTTTTATGTAAATAGAGCAGTGCAAGTCTAAACACTGATTACACAACAGTCTCGTTTCCTGCTGACTAGGTTCCGTCCTATTGCGCAACTTAGTACAATAACCAGTTCAGAATTCTGAGACCAACTCATTCAACTTGATATATAAATATTAATCAGTATTATCTGACACATCTAATCACTTGTACATTGCAACACTACGCTCCTTCTAATCCTTGCAAACACGTCGTGCAGCGTGCTCTGTCGTACAGCGTGCTCTGACAAACTGAAATCTGGAAATCGTGCAAATTTCAAAACGAGGCTCTGCCTCGGCGGTCTGGTACGGACTTGATATTATGTCAATCACGTTGTACGTTACAAAAATACACTTAATAAGCGCAAAAAACACATAATAAGTGTAACCAGTGAGCCAGATGAATTGTCAGTCATTGTACGACCTCTTCATACAGGGGCAGTCTGTGACGTCTTAGTTAACGACATGCTGCCTAAACCTCGACATAAAATATAAAAATACGATTGTTTAAAACTTTAAAATTAAAATCAATTTGTAAATACCATTTTCTTATGAAACAAGGAAGTGGAATTCGGTGTAACCATAGTTGTTTGTAGTGTCTCTTTTCCCTTTACACGAGAAATTCGGATCGGCTGAAAAGTATGTCATTGTCTGAATTGGTTAATGAGACTCAAGTTTCGGTTTGCTGTTCCAAATTCACAGACCAGTGAAGATCCTGGTCTTCAGCAACCCATGCTTGTCGTAAGAGGCGACTAACGGGCAGTCAGTTGAATTATTCTACTAAAAACCGAAACGGCGCTCGGAGATTCTTTTCATTTTCAGAAACTGCACTTGCCAAAACATATTGACTTGCATAGATTGTTTTGGACATTTGTTTCGGGGCCTGCATGACAGGGATTTGCATTATATACAAAATAGAAGCAGCCCCACCCCTAACGTATCCTGGATGCCTGGATTCACTGTAACTGAACCAAAGTACACTGAACCGTTTGAACGATCTCTCACCAATCTCTTTGATCCTCCTCTTAGTCATGCTCCTCAAACTGCACTTCAGTCGAAGCTATAAGCACAACCTCGTATAATGACATCACTGCCGGATGGGGAAAACCAGAACCACTGAAGTAGAGGGTTCGGTGGTTGGTTGGTTTGTTGTTTAACGCCGCACTCAGCAATATTACAGCTATGTGGCGGCGGTCTGTACATAATCGAGTCAGGATCAGACAAACCTGTGATCAACAGCATGAGCATCGATCTGCATAATTGGGATACGATGACATGTGTCAACCGAGTCAGCGAGCCTGACCACTCAATCCCGTTAGTAGCCTTTCATGACAAGCATGGGTTCCTGAAGACCAATTCTAATCCGGGTAGGGTTCTATGGTACCATATTAAATTAGTTCTAAGTAAACGCTTGGTCTACTTACCATTTCTAACCTTAGCTCTGGTGTAAGTTTATCAGTGACGATAAGACACAACGATTCGCAAATATTCATTTATTCTCATGCTTATATAAAAATATAATGCCATAATGATCATCAATGGAAAAAACCGTACATCTGTACAACAACCGTAAACATCTGACTGCAGCCACCCCCAGCTGCGACAACATTAACCGTATACACATGTATACAGACACAAGCATGTATACACACAGTCATCCGGGGTATAAAAGTAACAAACAAAACAATCTGTGTCATAGCATGAAGCAAAATGAAAGTAACAAGTGAAATCTACGTCTATACCTACAGTCCGTTGAGTCAGAAACGGACCGATGAATTGCAAATTTTATCATTGTACAAAATTGCCACATAAATATAAATAGTACACATGTTTATCATTTACTAATACCCAACAGCTTTCTTATATTTGAAAATTTTCCGGACTCCACCAAAAAAAGTTCTTTAAGAAACTATCATTAAAATTTTGACAAAGTTCGCTATTTGTTACGAGGGAGGAGTGCACAGAAAGGGACAGCCAGGTGTTAGAGAAGCACGTGCACAAGTGCCCACCAAGTTATTGATTCATTAGCCTGTGCTGTGCCGTCTCCATCCTTTCTCGCACACCTGGCTGACCCTTTCCCTGCACTCCTCCCTCGTAACAAATAGTGAACTGTGTCAGAATTTTAATGATAGTTTCTTAAAGAACTTTTTTGGTGGAGTCCGGAAAATTTTCAAATATAAGAAAGCTGTTGGGTATTAGTAAATGATAAACATGTGTACTATTTATATTTATGTGGCAATTTTGTACAATGATAAAATTTGCAATTCATCGGTCCGTTTCTGACTCAAACGGACTGTACACTATGTAACAACAGAGGCCGACACGTAGCGGCACAAACAAACACCTGTCAATCAAATCATGGCTACTGTTATACATACTGGTGAAGATATTTGGCAATGGGCCCTGATCGTGCATTGTATCAACAACAGGAAGTAACACAACACTAATGCATGTGTTCCGCATGCACGTTGACTTCAGTATACAAAAAAACAACAACACAGAAGTACTAAAACGGTGTAAGAACATAAGGAAATACCTTACAGTTAATGTTGGAAGGTATAAAACGAAACTCAACCGAAATCTTACAAAACTTAAGTTGTACCGTGTGTGACAATGTAGTAAACACATGATGAAGGATATCAATGATTTATGGTATTGAATGAGTCGGGATGAACACATTTCTTAAAGCTTTGGTATGGGAGAATAACAAAACTGAAAATACAGGAATGGTTTGAGCGTTTGAAAAAAATGGCACAGCAGCCTGACAAGCGTGAAGCATATCGCATGATATACACTTTCTGATGGGTACACTTCACACCACACGGGAAGAAAGTCAAGTTATGCAATGTCATTAACGAATGGACTGAAATACTTTGGAGAACATATCAACGATCACGCACAGCAGGGGATATCATGAACAAGGGTACCGAGACCAGATTTTCACCACCTAGAGACCAGAGTTAAATACATTTCTGGTCCCAGTGTCATGCAGTGTACTTTGACTTTGAAGTGAAGGGAAGGTTTCTGGCCCAGCCCTTGTTTTAAAACTTACCCCAAAGAACATTTAATAGACACACGGCATTGTCTGAGACAGGTGCAAGTATGAAAATGCAGCTTTTAACCTTCCATCCCACCTTATTGTGCATGACTTATCGCCCTCTTGTACATAACATATCGCCATTTTGTTCATAACACCTCACCCTCTTGTACATTACATCTCGCCCTCTTGTACATAGCATCTCACCCCCTTTTACATAAAACCTTGCCCTCTTGTACATAGCATCTCGCCCTCTTGTACATAGCATCTTGCCCTCTTGTACATTACATCTCGCCCTCTTGTACATAGCATCTCGCCCTCTTGTACATAGCATCTCGCCCTCTTGTACATAGCATCTTGCCCTCTTGTTCGTAACATGTCACCCTTTTGCTCATAACATCTCATCCTCGTGTATATAACATCTCACCCTCTTGTACATAAACCTCACCATCTTGTATATAGCATCTCGCCCTCTTGTACATAAAATCTCATCCTCTTGTACATAACATCTCACCCTCTTGTACATAACACCTCACCACCTTGTATATAGCATCTCGCCCTCTTGTATATAAAATCTCATCCTCTTGTACATAACTCCTCACCCGCTTTTACTTAATACCTCACCCTTTTGTTCATAGCATCTCACCCTCTTGTACACAAAATCTCATCCTCTTGTACAGAACACCTCACCCTCTTGTACATATTATCGCACCCTCTTGTACATGGCATATCACCCTTTTGACATAATGGATATTATTTCAGGTAAAAGCTGGATTTCCCTGAGGTATGTGATCATCAGGGTTTGGGAGGGGTCAAATGTGTCATTTTTTCACCTATCTTGATAGCTTATCACATGCTCCAGCTGGACAGAATACACGTAATACATATTACTGGCGGCACAATGCGAGAAAAAACACCTACAGTCTAAAATCCGGAATGACAACATGAAATTATCAATGCACTCGATTATCCAGCGTACAGTAGTCATTCTGTGCGATATATCATCATAAACTGGATAAACGGGGACGCTAACAATGGTCATCAGATTTGTGTCCTACTGGTAAGTTGCCTCGTTGCAAGGGCGTGAGACAACAACAGGAAATATCCCACTCTGATGCTCACCCTCGTTTATCCAGTGTATCGGCCACCATACTAAACTCCCTGGAACCATGGCATAGCCTCGTTTTGGAATGACACAAATTCGACGCTAAAATAGCTGTAAATCAAATCTACATTTGTCGGAAGTGACGTCTTGAAGCAAGACGAGGCTATGCCGGAAGTTGAACAAGGGAGGTTATTACATTCACAAAGAAATCTAGGATAAACTGGCATGGCAGCTACATAAAATATTGCGAACATTCTACAGCAAACCTACTTATTCATCTCTAAGGTTGTATTGCAATTACAGCTAAAAACTCAACAGGAAAAGATTTCGGGATTTATCGTTATAGTCTTAGTAGAAATTCAATCGGTAAAGGATCAGGAATGGTCTCAAAACGTCTCCTTGTATACTTGTCAAAAGAGGTTATGCACACCCGATTTTACATACGACTATTGTCAATCTGCCATGGCTGTAGGCAGTTGTAACACAATCGCTGGTGTTCTTAATTTGTTTTGAGTGGTATACATGAACAAAGAAAACAACATGCATTTAGCCTGTCATAATCGTCATCGGCAAGATGCTTTTCAAACATGGTCTACTGGGCCAGCCTAAAGTATTTCTTGTTTGAAGTCAAAGTGAAAATATGAAAAGTGTTGAATTGGGTGAAATATGATGGTTTTCGATTTTAGCTTTACCAGAAAATACATACATAGAGAAGTCCAACTGAAAAGTTGTACTTTTGCAAACTGCATGAGCCAATATACGAAACATGATACAAAATGGCCTAGTCTCATAATCTCGATTAAATGGGAATATATTGCAAATGAGAAGATATATACATTGCTGTGATTGTATGAAGCTGATGTTCTACTTGAGTCAAACTACAGGGTGGGGAACGGTTGTGCCCGTCAAGTAAATTTACTTAGAAAACTAAACTAAAATTAGCAAAAATGGTGTGCAACTAAAAATGCATGAGAGAAAATTAATCTGATATGAAAACAAATGATATTTGACTAGCTTGGTACGTTAATCCAGAGTGTTTGCTTTGCAGTTGTCTGGAATAACAGGGCCCTCTGTATACGGAACTCTTTGGAAACGGTTTAAAACTATTATCTTGTGCTAACTATTGTACTTTAGACACATTACTGGAGTGTTTTAAGTTCAGTGGATGAAAACAATCGTGTAGTAGTATCAACAACGGTAGGAAGAACATTCACTGTCAAGGGACATTCGCGAATAATACCATCCTAGTGAGTGTAGGTATGGGTGAGAAAATAGTGCGGGTATTGCGCCATAAGGTTTTGCGAAGGTAGGCCAGGTAGAGGTGTGTGAATGTCCTGTTTGACGACTCTGACCGAAACGATTATGAAACCTTGAAAAGTATTTTGAATATTAGGGCGAGTCAGTTAAGGCCCGATGTGATGAAGACGAAAGAGTTTAGGATACACCGTGGAGGTGCGACTCTTTCATTGTATGTTGAGACACAGGCAAACTGTAGCGCAAATGGTGTTGCGCAACAGAGAGAAAATGACCAGTTTTCTTTTAGACGAGCGAGCATATAAGAAGACTGGTCATTTTCTCTCTGATGCGCAACCCTATTTGCGCTACAGTTTGCCTGTGGTTGAGAGAACATCTGATGTCCTTTATTCTGGTAAATCAATGTGTGATGAAGAAGACAATTATAAGGGTGATATCATTATCTGTGCAGGGAGAAAATTCAACCCCTACAATGGAATGGTTGATGCCAAATGTATATTCATGTCGAGGTCAAACGGTATTTTTAAATCATCAGACTTTTGTACAAAAGTGACAAGATATAACATCGGGGCTTAATACGTGAAGGAAATGATAATAACAGTTTAAACTTTTAGCAAACTGTGGCAAGCCAGACAATGAAAAAAGTGATTTTGTTATAAATCTTCATAAAAATGAACGTGATTCAGCATATGTGTGCGATCATTACTGGGTTCTGTCCTTGAAGATACAAAACTGAGGGTTTCTCAGTAACAGATCTGATTGGACATGGGTCACGTTGAGACAAGGGGAAGTAACCGAGACACATCACCATGGCAACATGCACAACTCAGTACATATAGTACATGAAACATGAAACATTGTTTGTGACCCTGTTGAATGTACATCATCAAATCATACAAAACAAGTATACTACATGTCATCAGTGGAGACTAGCTACTTCAAGAAACAGCATGTGAAGGCTTTTCACAAACCTGACCGACGGACAGTGTCGCAAGTACTTGCTGAAGTACTGAAAATGCATGGCCTTGGTGGAGAGGTGAAGCACCATGGTTTGGTGTACAGTCTTCCATTATTGTCAGTTTTCTGACAATGCGTCGTGACGTCATTTCAAGTGAATGGCACCTACACTGAAAATTTGTGCTAAACGTCATACCCTATAAAACTAATTACCCGTAGAGATTGACATGATCGAGCACTCATGCGCTCGAAGCAAAGGCAGTTTTCAGCTTGAACAATTTTGACACCATTACTTTATGATGCTCCCACTCATCTGAGTCAGCCACGTGAGACTTGAGTTGAAATCACTTTATAACTTGTAAAAAGTAGAACCAATTACAACTACAGTGACAATGATTACCGATTTATGATTTTGTTCTCACATGCTGTTCCCTGATTGGCTATTGTTGGTAACCATGACAATTCTGCTACCTGTACAGTTTGGTCTACACTTACTACAAGTTCCCAGTACCCTTGATCAGTTCTGTACACGACCTTGTTAGGCCCGAGTGGGCGGAGCCCCAGCCTCGGCAAGCGTTTGCACTGTCAGTGTGACACTCTCTTCCATGATACCCGGTGTCTCAGCGAGAAACACCCGGCAGGATGGGCCCGGAGGGTCCGGATCTGTGAGAGAGCAAACAGAAGTTGTTCTTTCTCCACAGTCAGGGAGTCAAATTCCGCCTGCAGTTCGGCATTGGCTTTTTTCAAGCGCTCAACCTCCTGCAAATACAGAAAGACAATTCAACACGCAATTACGCATTTAAAGATGATATTCCTAAATGAACTGTTACAACATCCCAGGTGTACTTGAGAACTGTAATTTGACATAACAGTGCAATTCATTACCTTATCCACGCTGTTATATTCCTCCTTCCGCTTCCGCCGGAAGCGCTGGGCCGCGAGGCGGTTTCGTTCCTTCCGGTGTTTTGCTCTCTCTTCTTCCTCTGGCGTGAGCTGAATCAGTAGAAATTCACCAGCCACTTTACAACCACCAGTCACGTGTAAGGTCAAATTAGATGCAATACAACCAGTCACGTCATGCGTCACACAGGCAACATACAACTACTTGTAATGCAGTCACTCTTCACATATACATAGTCACATACATCAAACACAATACATCTACCTGTCACATGTAAAGTCACATACATCAAACACAATACATCTACCTGTCACATGTAAAGTCACATACATCAAACACAATACATCTACCTGTCACATGTAAAGTCACATACATCAAACACAATACATCTACCTGTCACATGTAAAGTCACATACATCAAACACAATACATCTACCTGTCACATGTAAAGTCACATACATCAAACACAATACATCTACCTGTCACATGTAAAGTCACATACATCAAACACAATACATCTACCTGTCACATGTAAAGTCACATACATCAAACACAATACATCTACCTGTCACATGTAAAGTCACATACATCAAACAAAACAACTAGGGGCGGACCGCGGAACATACATTTTTCTAGCTGTAGGTGAAGAGAAGAGGATAGTCGTGTTGTCAGAATCTTCACGAGACATGTCGCTGGCATAACTGAATGTTATATTGTCATATCTAAACGTATGAATAATATGATAGTACAGATACTGTTTTTGAATTCGGATTCGCAGCAAAAAATTAAGATTTGGGTTGATCAAAATGCTTCTTGTGGAAGTGTTGATTTAAACAACCCTCCAAACGCACAGGCATATTCTATGAGGGAAAAGATATGAATATTTGCTAAAAGTATGAATGCACAATATTGGTGTGATGATGCTTTTTCACTTGTGCTCATTACCAACTTGAAATCTAGCTCGTTTTGTCGAAACATTATTTCTTCAGAGACTAAGAGAAAGTCACGCTATTTCGTACAGTGAATTTGACTCGTGCCTTACTCAAGCCGAGGTGCCTCTCTCACAGGAGCCTAGCAAAACCTCATTACAAGAGGCAACGGAGAGCGACCGTTAGCGGGTCATGTGACCTGCAGAAGGGTTCAGGGCGTGGCCTAGTGACCTATCGGACCAATGCCTGCAGAGGGCAAGAGATGCGGGCGATGTCCGTCACAAACATATTACAAGAAAATCGGGATCGCATAATGATTCCATCTTTCAACTAACTTCAGTGTCTCCTTTACATATGTTCCTTATATTCAATAATAATTAATACATATGTATTGGATCACAAAAATATTTGTTTCGTGTAATTCTTCATAAAGTATACGAGTGCTAATATAATCTTCACGTACAATAACATGAATATACGGTATTTTCAATGGAAGAGTACAATCCATATCTGTCTACATAAAGATTCGTATCGTGCATTAAAAAATTTAAATCCTGATTCGTTTTACTTGGGATAAAATATGTCATTTTTACAAATCACGTGACACTTCATCACGCATATTGTCCATTTCTAATTTAAAAAGAAATGAACTTATATCATTAATATGAATAATGCATGTAAATATAGCAAGTATATTTCAACATTTTATAACCAAGAATACATATATGGCATCCTGAAGTCTATATCTGTCCAGGCGGAGTTTTTCTAATCTGTCCACCCTGGAGTCCGCGCCGCCGCCATATTGGCGAATCCTCACGGACACCAGCAGATCAAACTGTTACATACTCATAAATGTCGCAATCTTTACTACATAATGGTGCTTCTCAAATCTTTTAATTTCGTACGAAATGACATTCAACAAGAAACAATGCGAACGAAAGCTTTATCTGACAAATGTTTCGCTCCTTAATAAAAACAAGACATACACGCATGGATACAGGAAACTAGATATATGTACACAAGCGTTCCTCAACTTTTTCGTAAATATTTAAAGAAATTTTCTCACCTCCTGTTTTTTTAACTTTTCTTGTGCATTTAGAACATACCTCGTTTTGTGAGCTTTATAAGTGGCCTATTAGTGCCAATACTTCAATTTATGCATGCTCAACAGTGGCTATCCCAAGCACGGAAACAGCGTTATCATTCGAGATATAGATCTCCTCAGTTACAAATACATATGCTGAAATCAACTGAAGTTCTAGGAGCTTTTAATGATGGTATGGCGTATTTTCCAAAAAGGCATTTTTCCATCGAGGCCAAACTGAAAATCAATATACTGATTCTCTGAAACGATTCCGTTATATATAGCACCTATATTTTCTGTGTTTATACACAGACTGATAGATACAAATACTCATGTCAATAATGGTTGTCACCCCCTTCAATTTTTTTATTGGAGAGGGGGTGGGGTGTGTGGGGTGACAACCATTATTGGCATGAGTATATTTATACGGCCGCTGACGTGCAGGATGCATGGTTGCTGAGAGAGACTGTTTACCTTACACTATAGAAAATGTATTTACTTTATTGATGCAAACATATTCAAGGCAATATAAATATTTGGTGCATTTACCCGATAATTATAACATCGATTTGAAATACATCCTGAAAAATATATATGCTGATTGATGTACAGATGAACGATATTTGAGTTTGGTGTGCTTGTTTTGAAGTGAATTGTATGTTTGCAGTTATTATGCATTCAGTAAGTACCAGCGGCTATACATATATAAAAAGTGTTTTTCATTCATTATACTCATATCACATCTGCAATAATTGTTCATACAGCGATATTAATGCTTTTTTACGAGTGCAACGATAATTCCACGGTTTTTAACAAGTGTGAGGCATGACTACACAGATGTGACAAGTTTCACAACCTTACGTTGCATCCGTGGATGCACTACTTTGAATGCATTTCCCACATGTGCATGAAGCTTATATGTATTCATGTTATGATGAAACAATCAACAAATAACTCTCATAAACATTTATTAATAAGCAGAAATAGGCAGATGATAAAGTTAGAAATTCAGAGGGTAGGAAATACTCATAGATGCAAGTACAACAGCGGGTTAGACTGCAAGTGTCTTTATTATTTATGTGTTACCCTGTTATATATCACAAGTACATACATAGATACATATTTTGTTAAAGCAATAAATAAAAACAGGATAAATATACATATTATTACTTATTCAAAGAGCGATCACAAAACTCCTGTAAATAGCTAACTAACTTAATGCATTCTCTGATGCATGCATGCATCCTGTTGCACGTATACAAAAGATCAGGCACCCTCGTAACTGCGAGCAATTATTAAATGTCATCTGATGCAATATTGCATATAGAAAATAAAAACCAAATGTCTTTAAATGTACATACATATGCACAACGTATTCAGTCAAATATGACATCAAGAAGTAGGCTACAAAGTTAAGTGTCGGACAGTAATTCATTCCGGGAAAGTCTGAAAGTAATGTCATGAATATTTATGAGAGGACCACACTACCCTGGAGCCTGCTCATGCCACGTGACATGACAACCTCAGTCTTGGAATCGTCAAACAACAAAAATTGATGAAAATGTATAAAAAAACTCACTGAATAGGACTTTGGTTTTTTAAACTCCACATTATATTCCTCTTGTCCAAGACTATGACGTCGGGCTTGTATTTTACACTTCAACTCCTCTTTGATGAGAGGCGTGAGGCGCCCAGTCTCCAGGACCTGTAGGGTGGCTTTGGCGAGTTTGTCGTCGATGTCGCGGGGTAATGGTGGCGCGGAAACCTCTTCGAAGTGGGATACCATCTCCGAACCCTCAAAGTCAATACAAGCGTCCTCAGCTTTCAGTAAACGAATTCCTTGTTGCATGATACTGTGAAAAAATAAAATTAATTTTTAAAATTTTGGGGATACCTATGCGTGACGATTTTGTTCTAAAACCCCATCTAATAAACATGAGAATTATTGCATTATTTTTTTCATAAATTTTTAAAGCAGATTTTATATTTAAAATCCGATTTTGGTTACAAGAATATGTTTTCTTGAATGGCGTTAAATCGTTATCTGTATCGTTTAAAAAAACGTGACAATTTACAAATGTCCGAGAAATAAATGCAAGGTCAACAAATTGCCATTTATAAATAGAGACTCATCACTGACTGTACGTGTGACTAGCGTGAAAACGTGATAATTCTGGATTAGTTTAATCTTATGCTAAACGTTACACAAAAATGTAGACAATTGCAAACCAACAGCGACCCATCAACATTAATAGGGTGTTAGCTGTAATTATTCAGTTATAAATAAACACCCACGGCTACACGGCATGGATGGATCAAACATGGCGACTTCGCCAACATTTCCACGTTTTTTTATTCGTGTCTAAGTTGGCAACACGTGGGTGGATCATCGCTAGACACTTTATGACCAGACACTGATTAATTTAAAACCAATTCTAGAAGCCGCTAGATGTAGCCCGTGTTGTTTAAAAAGCACGTGGTATCAATCGATAAGTCATAATTATATATAGACTTCAGACATTCCATGTGTCACTCAAAGACTCTGAAATCAGCACTGGTTTGATGTCATGTGACAATGTGCTGTCAATCAAGAAGCATATATGTCATATATACACAGACATCCATTGACACCGAGATTTAAATCCCCCTCCGCAATCACATGTTCGCCGAGACGTTGTTGACAAACAAACGTCAGGAAAACTGTCAAGTAATTTAATCAAGCTACATTCGCACAATTAACAACCCATAATAATATCATAAACATAGATTAGTGTCAACTTTACCTGTTTAATGCATATATGGATAAAAAGAATCGAACGACGATTTTCACTTCTTTCTTGAGCGGCGACACAACTTCAAATGCCGACACACTGTATTGCTGTGCTTTGTACGAGGCAGGACATGTTCAAGCTTGTCTCGATAGTTCGCGTACCGAGCGCGAAGGGAGATAATCACTACCACGATTTTGTCGCAGTCATCAAGATTTGTTACTAAATTTAGCACATTTGGGGAATTCCCCCGAACCAAAATGGTCGCTCGGTCACGGTCAAAGTTTCAATTTTGCTTAATCACGGCTTCCGGTATAGAGTATTTTTGATTTGACGACAGTGTTTTACTATGAAATTATAATTGAATATGGATGTGAGCATTGAGTTTAAATAATACTCTTTAGGAAAAGTTTTTAGTTGAAGATAGGTCATGACCTGACCGCTTTCATCGACTCGTGACACAGTTAAGGAAAACGTAGGAACAACGTTTGGAAGTCTCGCCAAACCTCGTTCACAGAGTGCGTTATCCCCCGAGGCAAGAGTGATGTAAAAACCTCCAGCGTGGAGGTTGCAATACGCATGTCCAAGACTGTAGCCGACTACCGGGCATCCGTCTGTAATTGACAAACTGCTTACTCTCGTCTAGACACTGGTCCTCTTATTGTTAAAATATTGTTTGTATTGTAAATAGGAAATAAAACCAACACACGCGGAAGACGTAACTCGAGATGCTGGAATGTATTTAAACAGTAACACCATGAAACGATGAATGCATTTTTTTAAAATCAGATGATACATGTTTTAACGTGATTAAATTAGGGCTTGACTAAAAGAGAGATTTGGTTGTTTTTTTAATACACAGTATTCAAACAGATATACTTTTTCGTAATACGAATATGTATTATTTTTTATTATCAATTGTAATTTTGTTGTTAATTCTGTTGATATGGTCAAGTCAGTGTTGACATAGACCTAATCATATTTATTATATATGAAAAACGTAGTGTCATTCGATGAGTTATTTTGCGTTTATCTTTCTCCATACCATGCATTGAGAGAAGGCAGTAGGATAACTGAATGTATAATTATGATAATATATGTTCATCATATTTTTGTATAGTGGTTTAACATTTCCACATTTCGACATGCATGTGATATATAGTGTCAGGGAGTATATATGTTAACGTGACAGGGGTGTGTGACTTTGTAACAGATGGGTGTGGCATATTGTGACACAGTGCCATAATGAGAGAGTATGTGACATTGTGACGGTTTGTGACATATAGTGACAGTGGGATGTGACTTAGTAATGGAGAGGTGTGGGATGTGACATAGTATAGTGTTGGAGAGGTGTGGCATATAGTGACAGTGGGGTGTGACATAGTGATGGAGAGGTGTGGGATGTGACATAGTGTTTGAGAGGTGTGGCATATAGTGACAGTGGGGTGTGACATAGTGATGGAGTGAGTGAGTGAGTTTAGTTTTACGCCGCACACAGCAATATTCCAGCTATATGGCGGCGACATAGTGATGGAGAGGTGTGGGATGTGACATAGTGTTGGAGAGATGTGGCATATAGTGACAGTGGGGTGTGACATAGTGATGGAGTGAGTTTAGTTTTACGCCGCACACAGCAATATTCCAGCTATATGGCGGCGCCATAGTGATGGAGAGGTGTGGGATGTGACATAGTGTTGGAGAGGTGTGGCATATAGTGACAGTGGAGTGTGACATTGTGATGAAGTGAGTGAGTGAGTTTAGTTTTACGCCGCACACAGCAATATTCCAGCTATATGGCGGCGCCATAGTGATGGAGAGGTGTGGGATGTGACATAGTGTTGGAGAGGTGTGGCATATAGTGACAGTGGGGTGTGACATAGTGATGGAGGAGTGAGTGAGTTTAGTTTTACGCCGCACACAGCAATATTCCAGCTATATGGCGGCGATATAGTGATGGAGAGGTGTGGGATGTGACATACTGTTGGAGATATGTGGCATATAGTGACAGAGGGGTGTGACATAGTGATGGAGTGAGTTTAGTTTTACGCCGCACACAGCAATATTCCAGCTATATGGCGGCGCCATAGTGATGGAGAGGTGTGGGATGTGACATAGTGTTGGAGAGAGGTGTGGCATATAGTGACAGTGGGGTGTGACATAGTGATGGAGTGAGTGAGTGAGTTTAGTTTTACGCCGCACACAGCAATATTCCAGCTATATGGCGGCGCCATAGTGATGGAGAGGTGTGGGATGTGACATAGTGTTGGAGAGGTGTGGCATATAGTGACAGTGGGGTGTGACATAGTGATGGAGTGAGTGAGTGAGTTTAGTTTTACGCCGCACACAGCAATATTCCAGCTATATGGCGGCGACATAGTGATGGAGAGGTGTGGGATGTGACAAAGTGTTGGAGAGGTGTGGCATATAGTGACAGTAGGGTGTGACATAGTGATGGAGAGGTGTGGCATATAGTGACAGTAGGGTGTGACATAGTGATGGAGGTGTGTGGCATACAGTGACAAAAGCCTCGGCACACACAGGGACTTAGGGTATACTCCTCCTCTGGTAAACGCCAGGGAGATTCATTCATGGGGCTTAGATGTGCATAATGGGGCGACAGCGTTCTGAAGCTAAGAATGCACATATACGCAGTGAGGTATGTCACGCTTCGTTACTTCTGGTGTACAGAGAAGGAGTAGTCACACCACAAGGGAGATCGTGGTGTACTCGGAGGGAAGGTACGTCACACTTTACGGGGAAAGTGGTGTACACATTGGGGAATGCACGTCACACCACAAGGGATACAGTGGTGTACTCGGAGGGAAGGTACGTCACGCCTCACCGGGAAAGTGGTGTACACATTGGGCAAAGTACGTCACGCCTCACGGGGAAAGTGGTGTACACATTGGGGAATGCACGTCACACCTTACGGGGAAAGTGGTGTACACATTGGGCAAAATACGTCACGCCTCACCGGGAAAGTGGTGTACACATAGGGGAATGCACGTCACACCTTACGGGGAAAGTGGTGTACACATTGGGCAAATACGTCACGCCTCACCGGGAAAGTGGTGTACACATAGGGGAATGCACGTCACACCTTACGGGGAAAGTGGTGCACACATTGGACAAAGTACGTCACGCCTCACGGGGAAAGTGGTGTACACATTGAATGCACGTCACACCTTACGGGGAAAGTGGTGTACACATTGGGCAAAGTACGTCACGCCTCACGGGGAAAGTGGTGTACTCGGAGGGAAGGTACGTCATACCTTACGGGGAAAGTGGTGTACACATTGGGCAAAGTACGTCACGCCTCACGGGAAAAGTGGTGTACACATTGGGAATGCACGTCACACCTTACGGGGAAAGTGGTGTACACATTGGGGAATGCCCGTCACGCCTCACGAGGAAAGTGGTGTACACATCAGGGAACACCAATTAAGCCTCACGGGGAAATTGGTGTACACACTGGGGATTGCACGTGAAGCCTCATGGGGAAAGTGGTGTACACACAGGGGAATGCACGTGAAGCCTCATGGGGAAAGTGGTGTACACACAGGGGAATGCACGTGAAGCCTCATGGGGAAAGCGGTGTACACAAAGGAGAATGCACGTGAAGCCTCATGGGGAAAGTGGTGTACACACTGGGGAATGCACGTGAACCAGATGGGGAAAGTGGGGTACACATCAGGGAATACACGTGAAGCCAGAAGGGGAAAGTGGTGTACACACAGGGGAATGCACGTAAAGCCTCACGGGGAAAGTGGTGTACACATTGGGGAATGTACGTAAAGCCTCATGGGGAAAGTGGTGTACAAACAGGGGAATGCACGTGAAGCCATATGGGGAAAGTGGTGTACACACTGGGGAATGCACGTGAAGCCTCATGGGGAAAGTTGTGTACACACTGGGAATGCTCGTGAAGCCTCATGGAAAAAAGTGGTGTACACACTGGGGAATGCGCGTGAAGCCTCATGGGGAAAGTGGTGTACACACTGGGGAATGCACGTGAAACCACATGAGGAAAGTGGTGTACACAAGACGACAGCTACGTCACGCTTCATGGGTCCTTGGTGTACACAAGAGGAGTGGTACGTCACGCCTCATGGGTCCATGGTGTACAAAAGAGGAGTGGTACGACACGCCTCATGGTTCCTTGGTGTACACAAGACGAGAGGTAGGTCACGCCTCATGGGTCCTTGGTGTACACAAGACGAGAGGTACGTCACGCCTCATGGTCCGTGATGTACACAAGACGAGGTACGTCACGCCTCATGGGTCCTTGGTGTACACAAGACGAGAGATACGTCACGCCTCATGCGTCTTTGGTGTACACAAGACAAGAGGTACGTCACGCCTCATGGGTCCTTGGTGTACGCAAGACGCGATGTACGTCCCACCTCATGGGTCCTTAGAGTACACAAGACGAGAGGTACGTCACGCCCCGTGGGTCCTTAATGTGCAAAAGAGGAGAGATATGCCATATGTCCGTGTGAGTACAAGAAGAGTGAGTGAGTGAGTTTAGTTTTACAACGCACTCAGCAGTATTCCAGCTATATGGCGGCGGTCTGTAAATAATCGAGTCCGGACCAGACAATCCAGTGATCAACAGCATGAGCATCGATCTACACAATTGGGAACCGATGACGTGTCAACCAAGCCAGCGAGCCTGACCGTTAGTCTCCTCTGACGACAAGCATCAGTTACTGAAGATTCATTCTAACCCGGACTTTCACGGGTGAGTACAAGGGGAGATGTAAGTCACGCCTTTAAGGTCTCATGCCTACACACTATGGATTCGTGTTAAATAACGATAACATATAATTCTCAGCCTGAACTGAACTGAACTTCATTAATTTCAAGCCGTGGTGCACGGCATTAGAAGAACATATACCTATATTATAAAGATACAAATACCATGGCATTCAGAGGACAGGCAGTTACAACAAAACATATACATACAATTATAAGATACAGGTTAACATGTGATCGATATGTTTGCATAATTAATTTACAAAAGGTACTTAATTTTGTTAACAATCCAATCTGTTTAGCTGATAGTAGCAGGGGAAAGAATCTGAATATTGGGATATTTACGATAATATATAGGTATTCAAGTATTTCTCTGTTC